GTTAAAGTCTTTGGGTTTCTGATGTCAGAATCATAAATCCAATGAATTTGTAACAAGCAGTTTAATTTCAATTGAGGGTCTTTTATGAAAGTGTGTTTCTGCTTCAGAGTAAAAAATAAAATAGGTATTTTTTTAGATACATTTTCAAATAAGAAATTGAGCCTAATTGTAAGATACAAAGTCACAACTGTGAGTGAGAATTAGTCATAATTGTGAGATGTTAGTTTTTTTATTTTAAAAAGGAATGAATGCAATAGAGTAGAGTAGATTCTTTGATGATACATGATTAGGCTGGTACATATAGTTGAGAAAGGATATTGTTTGACTAAATAATTTATGGTAATGGTTCATTTATAGAATATAAAATTAGATTTTTAATTGTCTTATGGACAATTAGATCAAACCATATCATACGTACTGTTTCTAATACATACAGATATGTATCTGTGTTTCAGACTGTATTTCACACTAAAGAAGAAAGCTGATTTGCTGTCTGTTACTGTGAGCCCCTGTGCAGTGCCCATCGAATGGAGCTTGGCTGTTCGGACCTTGAAGGATAAACCACCTAAAAAAGCGCACTGTGAGTTTGTGTGTGTATGCTTATTCATGGACTTGTGTCTGCTTGAAGGTATATTTGTGCATGCATGCGAACACGTACTTGTACTTGTGTGTTTGGGGAGTACTGGCATAGCCCTAACCAGGGCTAACAAACAACTCAGGGATTTTGTGTCCATAGGGCGGACAGGTTACATCCCTTCAGAGGCTCTAATGAAGAAGCGAAGCAGTCGCTTGAGGCTCACTGATTTAATTAGTAGGTGTAAAACTGCTGTTGTGTTGCTTTAGGGCCTCTATGGACAGAAGATTCTCCTCTTATCCATCTCCAAATCTCCAGGCTGTTTCCTGATAGAAAGTAAAACATTTTCAAACAGAAACAAAGAGACAACACATGCAAGCACAGTCTGGGTGGATAAACATTAACATCTGTTTCTAATTTTAATGGTAGTTTACAATACTTACTTGTCCACAGAAGTAATAGTGATACAGGTTTATTATAACATCAATGACTACAGAATTCTCATTTTCAGGTTTTTCTTTTTTTAATGTTAATTATAAATATCCTGATTTTCATTGTTAATGCATATTTGTACATGTTGGATGTTAATTTATACAACTTTAAATGTAAAAATATATAATTTGTGTATGTAAAATTACATTTAACCAAGATAAATAAATGCATAATGAACCTAAACCTAAGTGTAAAGTGTTACCAATTTTTTTGACATTATAAAATAATCAACGCATTCTCACCCCAAGGCGTCACCTTTGACCATGCTTCAATATTTGACGTTTTAGGCGCCCTTTAGCGTCACTTACATGACGCGATCCTACGGCGTCATCTAACTGACGCTAAAAGAAAGCGTCTGTTAGAGGACGCGGTGAGGTTTAGGTGTGGGGTGGGGGTAGGGTACACGCGATCCTAGGGCGTCATCTTACTGACGCTAAAGGGCGCCTAAAGCGTCAGATATTGAAGCATGTCCAAATGCTTCCCAAGGCGTCAGTTAAGTGACGCCTTGGGGGTGAGAATGGGCTGAAATAATTTAATAAATATAATTATAATTATAAAATATTTTTACATTATAAATATAATGTCATATTATAAAATTATATTATAATATTATAAAATATAATTTAATATAATGACATTATAAAATAATTTAATAAATATTTATCATTCATTCATAATGCTAGACCCTAGCTAAAGAAACTATTTTGTTGCTAAATACATTTTTCAATTATCTTCATTTATATTTGGAAGACACATCTGCATCATGTTTGAACAGTACCAGAATAATCCTTATACTGTACGTTTCTGCACTCTTCTTTCATAATCATGCGCATGTACTGAAATGAAGGGTTAGTCTGGCAGGCAAAGCAGCATTATAAAGTCATAAAGTGACATATAAATCATTTAGACTGTGAACTCAGGGGTCCCCATCTACACCTTTAAATTATTCACTTTGATTACCAAATGTTCTCTCTAAAAGTGTGCCGACAAAAGTAATGATGGTTTGCATGAAAAACAGTCTTATGCGGCATTGCGGCCCAATGTTTTTTTTAGCTTTCTTTTGATTAGAGCTTTTGAATATGCTTGATCATGATCTGAAATGCTTCGTTTTTCAGGGGGCTCGAAGAAGAGCATGCCTGAGGTTTGGTGGAGAGGTTCTGGAAGAGAGGTTAGGATTTACACCTACACCGGCAATGCCGTAGACACCTACACCGGTCCTGCCTACGCTCCAGCGTCCATCTACATCCTGCGGCTGAAATCAAACGATCAGGACACGCAGGTGTCGGCATACCTCCACGAAGGTCCTGGTCCCTCGGGGGCTTTCCCGGAACTGCCTTCAGATCCTAGAGTGCACACACTGGGGGTGGGCATGACCAGCGTCACCTTAAATTGGGCTCCGAGCTCATCCATAGATGTTAAAGATGGTCACCTGCCACATCACGAATATTGCGTGTTAGTCAACCACAAACACAATTACCGAAGTCTTTGCGCTGCCCGTGAGGAAATCCGAAAGGAGATACAGAGTGTGCAGAAGAGACAGAGAAGGGACAAACAAAGCAAGGAGATTGTGTGGGCGACGCTTAAAGAATGGTGGTGGCGGCACCCGGATACCCTTGCGGATCGCGAATCGTCGACAGCTGACAAGTTTGAGGACCCTGGATGTGTGTGCAGGGATGTCGAAAGTGTGTGCACGGTTTCGGACCTGCTTCCGGATACACAGTACTATTTTGATGTGTTTGTAGTGGACAGAGTTAACGGCACAAGTGCGGCATACACCGGCACTTTCACCCGCACACACGAGGAGGCTCGTCCAGCTGTCACATCCTTACGGGAAGGCCAGGTCAAATGGGTCACCCTGAGCGGGGACGCAAGCAATCTACAGGGGGAACAGTTTCGTTTTAAACCTCGTGGGCGGCAACAAAATGGCCTCCTTACCTTGCACACCTGTAACGGCACTAGTAAAGTCAAGGTCACCGTCTCTAGTAAAGGACGGACTTTGACGTCTCAGGAGGTGGGACACCAGGTGGCCCAGATATGGTTGCATGGTGCCCCATCATACCTCATTCAGCTCCAGGCTTTGGCTCCAGGGTCCTCATCGGCAATCCCTAAAAGCAATTTCGGGAAGTCCAAATTCTGTCTCAAAATTCAGGCATCATCGGCGTACCACCGCCGAGCTGTACCGGTGTTTCCCGCCACACTGCAAATTAAGTCTTTCAACAAGTTGCGCACCTGCAACTCAGTCACTCTCGCCTGGATGGGGACTGAAGAACGCAGTCTATATTGCGTTTATCGGAGGCAGATCCCACTTGACAGCAAACACATTTTGACGGACCGCTGCATCGCCCCGGAGTCCCGTCCAGCCAATGAGAGAGTCCTCTGTAAGTATTTCCAAGAGTTAAACCCTCGTCGGGCGGTCACTACAGCGGTGATCGGTGACCTGGAATCAGGGGTGTTATATGTGTTTGACGTTTATCTTATGAGACGCTGGGGGCTTCCAATTAAGTACCACAGCAAGACTGTGAGAACCAGGAGTGAATGTTAAGTGAGCATCTCAGACCATCTTGGTCTCGGTGGAGAAGGACTCAATGGAGAGACAGTATTCCACAGGGAAGTAAGACCAGAAATGGAACTGTTGGGGGCCTAGATCTGGTTCGGTTGAGGTCTAACGTGACCACTGAAAGACATTAACACATTAATTATGCCAACACAGACACACAAATACAAAGTGAGGTGAGACCAAGCTCACACCAGCAAAAACGAATTTACTTTACGATGTTTCTGTATTAATGTTTGTGTTGTTGCTGTCTGTGGTGCCGTCTCTGTTGTTAATTATACAGTATTGAGTGTCTGAATTACAGAAACTCTCTCATCTCTTACACAAAAGAGAACCGTGCCAAAATATGCAAGAGAAACAGCCGGAGGGCTTTGAGCACCAGTGCTAACCAGAGCTGTATCAGATCTCTCAATCTGCCACCAGTAACAGAGAAAGACACCAAGTATGGGAGCCGCGAGAGAGAGCGAAAGGAGCTGTGTGAAGTCAGTGTGTTGATTATGCTCTGCTAAAGCATGCAGCAGGGAAAACGAGTTAGCAGTTCACTTCATTGTGTGTGATGTCATTGTTGTGCTGCGCTTCTGCGCACTAATAAAAACACAATTACCAACCAGACATGAAAATGATCTGTGGATGTGTCACACTTTGACATTCTTCAAGGGCAATGGCTGTTCATAACTGAATTGCGGACGATTCTACACATGAAAGCAATTCAATGAGACGTTAGTAGTAAAAAGGCGTTCACCAGCCTGTGTGACGATACGAAAGTCTTACAATCAATAATATTGATTATATATAAATAATCGACAGTACAAAGAACTTAGTTTGGACGCTCCAGTCCGATAGATTTCAAAAGCACTCCAGTGGCTCCCTCTGCTGTCCAAATTAGGGAAAGAAAAAACACTGGACAGCTGCTGGATGTCCCAAAAAAATGGTTGGGATGTTGATCCAATGATTAGAATATTTTGAGTCGATTCACAAATAGATTCGTTCATTGGCCATTTCTACAGGTAAGATTGTCACGCCTGTAGTTGGCAACAAGTCTTTTTAACTGCATGATCGTCAGGTATATGTACTTAATAAATCTTCTTCGTCCTTTCTGTCTTTGCTGTGAATGAGACTGACTATACGTGGAAACAACAGTATTTACGGTCTGTTAAAACGATAAAAATCAAAATAGTTGTTTATAATATTGGCAATTGTGTTTTTATTGTTCACTTCTTTACCCAACAGCTACAAAAAAAAAAAATTGAAAGTATAAAGTAAGGATATTTGAGAAAATGTGATATTGAAGTTTGGACTCAAAACGGTATAGTAACTGAGATAAAGCCACATGAATGTAGTACCCGTTACAATGTCAAAGACGAAAAGAAAAAGACTGTATTGTTCAAATAATTACCCTTTATTTTTTTCAATTGCCATTCTCAATGTTACAGAGGTAAACATTTAAGGGGAATCTTAGATACAGCAGTGCTACACCTGCCAGGAGCTGTCACCTCCACATGCACAATCACACACACTCCCATCCAGCACTGTCATCACAAGATTCAGAGCAGATAAACCATTATTTCCACTTACGAAACATGTCCCCTTGCATCCATATTTAAAAGACCAGCATGGTCTGTTAATTCAGGTGACATGGCTCTTGAAATCTGCCCACTCAAATCAAAGCAATGAAACTCAAGACGGCAAAATGTCTACTGGAACTCTAGAAATCTCTGTCGAATATAGAAACTCTAGAAGTCAAATATGGCTACAACTTCTTCGACTCTGGATTGTCCTTGCCGAGCTGAGCAAAGAATATTTGAATCTGTCTTAGAGGCGGAGGCGTTAGGCTGGGGTATGAAGAGATGTCTTTCTGTGACACCCCTTCGGTATGGCTGTAGAGGAATCCATCTCTCATCTCTCTGATCATCAAACATTATAATGGCCTGTACATTCATAATACATGCTTTGAGCTTGGTTACTCTCCAGATAAACAAAAAAAAAAAAAGTCGATTAAAAGCAATACTCACTCACTGAGATCAACACGTTAATCAAATCTGAGAAATGTAAATGTTCAGTTAGAGTCAGTACGATTTCATTAAATGCTGTTACAGTGAAGCTGCCACATAAACAATACAAACCTGTAAGAGCCACATTCAATATCTGCCAGTAAAACGGTACGTCAAAATGTGCTTTACCAGTCAGTGTTAAATATTTAAGGATTTCCTGGCACCAAAGAAACCAAATGGCCATTTAAAAAAAAACTATATTAAAGACTTTCCCTATAATATTCCTGTGAAATCCATCAAAAAAAAAAGATTTTTACAGTACACGTTTGAACAAACCCTGAAATCTCTGCGTTCTTTGTGTGCGTTTCTGTTTTCTGTTACACACTGTCCTGTCCATCGCTTTCCAAGCTCCGTATGGCTCACAGGACTGAAGGTGCTGTCACATTTACCATTGCTCTGTGCATTTTTTTGCGGGTGAATTCTATTCATTGCGACAGAAATCCGTACAATTGTGAGTTTCACGTGAGGATGGGAAATTTCACGATTGAAAGCAAGTGATTTCTGTGTGAGCTGTTTCATACATCGCTACGGGATTTACAATTGAAAAATGCCTGCAAAATTTCACCCACTTTAAGGCTCACTTTCTCAATGACAAAATGTTTTAATAAGAAACTTAACACTTTCAATCCTCTTTCCGCCCATCATTATGTAGTAGGCTGTACAATTGTACTGTCCCACCTTGGTATTGCAGATATACTTCCAGAATTTCAGTGTAACTCTGAAAAACGGGGTCATTGAGGTTCTACACTGAAGCTCTGCTCAGTTTCAATGCTATCGAACATCCCAAGATCACAGAAACATGATAAAAAGGCTTATAACCTTGGAATCTTCACAAGAATTCTTACACACCTATTTTCTATGATTGTGGATAAGTTGTTGGAATTGCATCACGTTGGAACATCTGTCTAGGATATAGACAGTATAATCTTCCATAGCAGGTTCCAAAATCCAATAGTCTTGAACAATCCGGTGCGGGCAACATTCAGGTAATTTAAACACCCTGCTTGTATGAACCTGCATAGAAACTCCATGTAGGCCTCATCGACCCGTCTTTAGGGAAAACCAAAAGTTGTTACTCCATACAGTACAGCATGTAGAGTACATCTACAGATGTAATGGATAGACAGTTTCCTGTATTTGGCAGCCAAATGAAGCTGAATAGTCCAATATACAAAAATAGGGTTTTAGAAAATTTCAAACAACAACATAAATAACATTAATATTGATAATAACTACTGTGGTCATAAATATAGTCCACACCCAAATGGCGTGTCATACAAAAGTCCAGCAGACGTATAAAGCATCTGTCAGTACTGAAGAAAAGTTGCGTCAGTGCTGAGGTGCGTTTGGTTCAAGAAGGTGAGTGAGATTGTGTGTATGCGTGTGTGTGTGCATGTTTTTTGTGTTAAAGCCCTGGTCTGCTACTGCGTGCCGTCGTACCGCCTCTGTTGTGGGAACGTGCTTGAACAGACACTGTGAGAAGTGATAGAGAGAGACAAATGGTGTTAACACTACATTCAGGCTTTTAAAGGTACTTTTAGAATTATAGCCTAAATTCAATTTAGTGTAAGCATAAAGAGCTTAAGATCATTATCAGTATAAAGATCATCCAATCATGTCAGTATCTATTATATATCCAAGATGAGTTACTAAATACAAACTCATCTGTGTAAGGTTTAGTAAGTTATATCTTACATAAAGAAAATGTTTAGACTTTTAGCATGCAGACTGCAGACAGTCTGAGCATGGTACTTAATGATTAATCATAGATAATAAATAATTAATTGATAAATCAGAATATTAAATGACTTCCTTTTTACATTTCACTCTTTCATCATTATTCTTAAACTGAAAAATGATGTAATATTCATAAATATAAAAAGTAGAAAGTGCAAATTTGAGGTGCCCACGCATATAAATCTTATTACGTTGCTTGCTAGGCTTTTATTATATTTTCCGTTCCACATTTTTATGTAATTAATTCAGCTCAAACTAACTACATTCCAGCCTTTGGTGTGCTAATTTTGTTTTTATATAAAACTGACAGTAAAGAATTAATATTAGCTTGCTGAATTATGATTAACCTGCTGTTCAAAAGTTTGGGGTCAGTAGGATTTTGTTTGAAAAATATTTTACACTTTCCACAAAATATTAAGCAGAAACTGTTTTCAAAATTAATAATGATTACAAATGTTTCTTGAGCACCAAATAAGCATATTAGAAATAGAATGATTTCTGAAGGATCACCTGACACTGAAGACTTTAGTAATGATGCTAAAAATTCAGCTTTGCCATCACCGTAATCAATTATTTTAAAATGCATTATAATAGAAAATAGTTATTTTAAATTGTAATGATATCTCACAATATTACTGATTTTACTGTATTTTGGTTCAAATAAATGCAGCCTTGAGGAGATACTTTTTACAAACCGTAAACATGTTAACAGTACATTAATTGTATATTAAATTGACTGTTTTTTTAATATATATTTACAAAAAACAAAAACCTACAACATAAGTTTATCAGAAACAAATCTAAATTCTGACAAAAATACTATTATGTTTTTACTGTATATTCATTTTTTTAAGGCAAAAAAAAAAGATTAAACTGATTCCCACTAACCTGGGGGCGGAGCTTTTGCATCTGGCTCCTCCTCATGCTCAATGGGGAAGTGGCCATGGGGGTGATGGGAAAATGAGTCTATAAAGGAGGAGCTGCTGATACCCAAACTGATTCCAGTCACACCAATTCCCAGAGAATCTGTGCTCACACACCCAAATACAGTCAATGGGACAGTTTATAGAACTACAGTGTTCATCTTGAGGAGCATAAGATGTGTGTTTGTATGCACCCACCTATGCCAACAGATGCTCTGCCAGGTCGTCCCTGACCGATGGTGTCTATTCCAGTAAATGAACGGCGATAAGGGGTGTCTGACTGCAAAGCAAGGTTTAACATGATCAATATACTTATGAAGACAAACAAATGATGAGGGTCATGATGAAGTGTTTATGTATACAAATATGTGGGAGAGATTCACCCTAAAGGTGTGTGTGGTGTTGGGTCTGGAAAACACGTCCAGCAAGTGCATTTTGTCACGGGGCTGCAGACTGACACCCTCGTCGGTCACTGCACTATGTGCACGACTCGAGGAGCCTCTCTGCTTCTGCAAATACATATATATTAGGGCTACACAATATATCAAAATTATTACCAATGACTCATGACTCATTTACTTCATTCCTGAATGAATCAGTCGTTTAAACGAATAAAATGAATGATTGACTCAATGACTAATTTAGACATTTACCGCCACTTACTGGCAGTTTCAGTTTGTTAGAGTATCATTTCCATATTCCTAATCAATTAAAAGATATAGTTCACCCAAAAATGTAAATACTATTTTTTACATTTCATTACATGTCATCACATTTGCACTTTACATTTAAAGGAATAGTTCACCCATTTATTCCAATTGACTTCCATGGACAAATGGAAGACTATGGAAGTTTTTCCCGAAGAAAAAAACAGACCAAAAACTGGTGACTCATCTTGTAAAACAACTAAACAACTGTTACTAACGATTGGTTGCACCTGAATAAGCCTTGAGTGCTGTCCGGAGTAGGTGAGATCTGTGTCTCCTGTGCCAATAGGAGGGAGAAGTGTGTTTCTACTGAGAGGCATTGGAGGAGAGGTCAAACGATCACTGGCGGTCGTCCTTAAACACATACAGTACAGACACACACTATTGTAAGAAACTAGTTTTTCAGGAAACAAAAGAGTACCGGATATATAACAAAGAAAATTTGCTCTTACAATCTTGTGCCTCTAACCACCTCTTCCATGGAGCCGGTTGTGATGGCCTGTGTTACACTGGATGTCAATGGCATCAGAGTGCGAGGAGGTGGGTTCCGTCGCCGTGCCGACTGAGGGGGGCGAGTCAAGGATGAGGAGCTTTGTTCCAGTGCACGACGGGGCCGAAGTTTACTGGTGGGAATGACACTAGACCCGGGACGATGGGACACTTTCTCCTCAGAGTCTCTACAGTCAGAATGACAGAAAGAAGATTAATTTAAGGAAAGTATGATTCATTTAGAGAAGCCATAGAGATACAGAAGTGTTTCCTGCACAGCTAATTTATGGAAGCGTGTAAAAAAAAAAAAAAGAGTTCTACAAGAGTTTTCATTTTGAACTACAGTCCTAAATATGCACAGTAAAGTGTATAAGTTTGTGTTTATTTCCTCTGTGGTGTTCATACTGAGATATTCGGTCCAGAGTTCCCAGGTTCCTTTGCTGAAGTGGAATGCCATGTATCATGATGAGGTCATTGAAATTGTGATGAGCAACCGCCGCCCCTACTGGCACTCGACTGGTCTGTGGGAACAGAGAAAGAAAAAGAAGCAGGAAAAAAAAAAAGTTAGGCTAGTTCAGGTTTTAATTTTATTTCCCTTTAGTGTACAATGTACACTCACCTAAAGGATTATTAGAAACAGCTGTTCAATTTCTCATTAATGCAAATATCTAATCAACCAATCACATGGCAGTTGCTTCAATACATTTAAGGGTGTGGTCCTGGTCAAGACAATCTCCTGAACTCCAAACTGAATGTCAGAATGGGAAAGAAAGGTGATGTAAGCAATTTTGAGCATGGCATGGTTGTTGGTGCCAGACGGGCCGGTCTGAGTTTTTTACAATCTGCTCAGGTACTGGCATTTTCATACACAACCATTTCTAGGGTTTACAAAGAATGGAGTGAAAAAGGAAAAACATCCAGTATGCGGCAGGCCTGTGAGTGAAAATGCTTGTTGATGCTAGAGGTCCGAGGAGAATGGGCCGACTGATTCAAGCTGATAAAAGAGCAACTTTGACTGAAATAACCACTCGTTACAACCGAGGTATGCAGCAAAGCATTTGTAAAGCCACAACGCGCACAACCTTGAGGCGGATGGGCTACAACAGCAGAAGACCCCACCGGGTACCACTCATCTCCACTACAAATAGGAAAAAGAGGCTACAATTTGCAAGAGCTCACCAAAATTGGACAGTTGAAGACTGGAAAAATGTTGCCTGGTTTGATGAGACTCGATTTCTGCTGAGACATTCAGATGGTAGAGTCAGAATTTGGTGTAAAACAGAATGAGAACATGGATCCATCATGCCTTGTTACCACTGTGCAGGCTGCTGGTGGTGGTGGTGTAATGTTGTGGGGGATGTTTTCTTGGCACACTTTAGGCCCCTTAGAGCCAGTTTAAATGCCACAGCCTACCTGAGCATTGTTTCTGACCATATCCATCCCTTTATGGCCACCATGTACCCATCATCTGATGGCTACTTTCAGCAGGATAATGCATCATGTCAAAAAGCTTAAATCATTTCAAATTAGTTTCTTGAACATGACAATGAGTTCACTGAACTAAAATGGCCCCCACAGTCACCAGATCTCAACCCAATAGAGCATCTTTGGGATGTGGTGGAACGGGAGCTTTGTGCCCTGGATGTGCATCCCACAAATCTCCATCAACTGCAAGATGCTATCCTATCAATATGGGACAACATTTCTAAAGAATGCTTTCAGCACCTTTTTGAATCAATGCCACGTAGAATTAAGCAGTTCTGAAGGCGAAAGGGAGTAAAACACAGTATTAGTGGTGTTCCTAATAATCCTTTAGGTGTGTGTGTATCTCAGCATTAAAAAAAAAAAACAGCATCTGACATCCATGATCTCTACAGCATGCATAGTGTGTAAAACAGACAAAAAGACACTGAAAAGAAACATACAGAACAGAAAAAAACATAGTGGGAACAAGCATTAAAACGTACTTGGTTACTAACGTAACCTCGGTTCTCTCTAGAAGAGGGAATGAGTGCTGCGTAATATCTTACGCTAGGGAAAAAAACTCTTTTCCACAAGATATTGAAGCCAAAAATGACCTCTAAGTAAGATAAGGCGGGAAACTCTAAACCTTATAAATGTAGACGGGGAGGCCCAGCCTGCCGCCATACAGATATCCTGCAAGGTAATCCCGCTAGACCAAGCCCATTACGAAGCCACGCCTGTGGAGTGCGCTCTGACACCCAAAGGACACTGCTATAGCTCTGGTAGGACACTTCAAGAAGTGCAGGGCTATAGCATCAACTATCCATCTGGATTGGCTCTGTTTCGATGCGGCTAGTCCCTTAGAACGTCTACTGAACGAAATGAAGAGCTGCTCAGTCTGTCTGAAAACAGACGAGCGAGACACATAAGCTCTTAATGCCCTGACTGGGTAAAGGAAGCTCCTGTCATTTTCTCCGTTGCAAACCGGCAGCGCTCGACAGCCAATAGGACAATGCCACAACGCATTTTACATTCATTCAAAATTAATGATAATTTTTGGCTTCAATATCTCATGGAAAAGAGGTTTTTCCCTAGTGTAAGATATTACGCAGTACGAGAGATCTCTCGTAAGAGATCACCTCCACAAGATTCAATTAAAGTCAGTGGCTAAAAACAGTGGCTAGTGATTTAGTTGTTAAAAAAACCAAAAAACAAATATGAGCGTTGAAGTTTAGGAGAAAAAGAGGTGAGCCGGTACACAGACAGAAACACTCTCGCTCGCCCTCTCTGTTTAAGTGTTGTTATCAGGGTAAAGTTACATACAGTCGATGACTTTCTCTGCTTTTTGGATTTCCGTCTTGACTTGTGCTTTGAACCCCATGACTTTGAGCTCTTTGGAAAGAAAATGGAGGGAAAGGATAGAAATAGAAAGGTATAGAAAGAGAAAGGAAGAACACAGATGACACATGGGTGATTGGACAGAAAGGTAGAAACAGAGACAATGAGGAAAAGACAGAAAAAAGGGAGGTAAAAAGTTAATGAATTGCAAGCCAGTGGGAAAAAGCTGGAAAAAAAAAACAAATGCTGACAGCAGTGAAAATCAGCAGTGTGTGTATTTTTTGGGTATGTGAATGTGTATAGACAGAGGACACAAAGCAGTGAAGATCTACATAACCCTGTTATTTAAATATATTTAGACCCTATCATCAGGCAGATAACAGGGGACCCTGGGTTGCAAATCCTACTTTAGATGAAATCCATTTGCTACAAAAGGAAAAGGACCAACCCAAAAGAATTTTCTCTAAATATATTTTTTCAATATCTGGTTAACCAACCTGGGCCTGCAAGCTGGCCGTGAGCTGCTGTGTTCTGCTCTGTGACAGTGGAGGAAGCACTGATGAGACATTGGACAGCAGCAAAAAAGGATTATGGGTATCAGGGCACGCAGGGCTGAGAGCCACGGCATTCTTCTCATCATCTGATGGACAGAGAATTTCAAAGAGAAAATATTCTTCACCAGTTCTCGACTCAATACTTGATTCTGATTGGACACGACACTTTGCTCTCAAATAGTAGATAGTACATTCTCTGAAATGTACACTATTTGATTTATTTATTCAAAAACAAGGCAAGGATAGGCTCCTACATAATTTTGATTAATGAAATGTGATGGCACTGTACCGTCTGGTACTGTTAAAAATGTTATCACGTGATTATGTTATCAAATATGCAGATGAGGATATGCAAAGTAAAACAAGGCGTTGTAAGTTCCATATATGGTTATTTCGGGGAGGAGACGTATGTGCGCACAATCTTATGCTGACTGGGATTTATAAGGTGAATTCTGCGCAGGTTCTGGTGTACGCACGGTTTTATAAGTCTGAATTTTTTTTTTTACGAACAACATTTTTGGCTTTCGGGCGCACGTACACTTTTAGTAAGGATCCTACGCACAGTTTTTTAAATAAACCCCCAGGTCATGCACACTACAATACACAAGTTTGGGGTCAGTAAAACTTTTTTTTTTTTTTTAAGAAATTAATGAATGCATTAAATATGTAAGTTAAAGACTTTTATAAAGTTACAAAAGATTTATATTTCAAATAAACACTGTTGTTTTGAACTTTTAGATTCATCAAAGAATCCTGAAAACAATGTATCATAGTTTCAACAAAATATAAAGCAGCATTGCTTTTAACATTATAATCATTGGAAATGTTTCTTGAGCTTGATTCTTGAAGAATCATGTGACATTGAAGACTGAAGAAATGATGATGAATATTCAGCTTTGCTGTCACAGGAATATATAAAATTTTTAAATATATTTAAGTAGAAAAATAATTTTTTGTTGTTTATTGCTTTACTGGATCTTTGATCAAATAAATGTAGCCTTGGTTAACAAAGGCCCCATTATATTCACAGCAAAGTTCTTTTTCATTCTTTGTTTAGGGGTAAAAAGCAGTTGGAAACACCTTTGTAGAGGTATACTGTTAATGAACATCCCAACATCGCCTACAATACAACGTATATATGTAAATGTACTGCGCACTTTCCTCACAATAACAAATAAACATAAAAAAAATGACAGCAGTGAGAAAACAGCAGTTAAGAAAGCATCTGATCATAGCGATGTGGATGTTTTCACAAGCTCTGCAATTCGGTACTCCAGTAAAGTACAGTAAAGTTTATTTATATAGCACTTAATACCATAGATTGCATCAAACCAAACAGCTATACAGCATTAAACATGAAAAAACAGTGTCTGTGTTGCTTTCAATTACAGTTCATTTCTATTATAAAGTTGTGTTTTGTTCACACCAGTTCATTTTTTTAATTTCGCTTGAAGCATATCAGGGCCTTAAGAAACTTCTTTTACAAAAATAATATAAAAAAAAAATTGTAAGGACCACCCTACAATTTCGAACGATAGAGTAAAAAAAAAAAAACAAGTATTTGAAAATTCATCCTACCTGACACAAAACCCTCCCAATGCCTACGCACAAGCTCCTCAATCCAGCCAATGAGCTCACGCCACACATCATCAAACAGCAGACCAAGCACCGCCTCCCGACGACAGCGATAGGGCGAGACAGGGGGCAGGCAGCGCCTTCGCCGTCTGTTCACATAATCGCGTTCCCATTCCTCATCCCTAGATAAACACTATTATCGGCAAAAATCTCTGCCAAAATATCAGATAAATTATGCTAAAAGAAACTCCCATCTGTCACACACAAGCATACAAGCACACACACTCACAGGTCCCTGCAGTCGAAGGCGAGATACTCTTCTATCAGCCCCTCGGCCTCAATCACCCTGGGCATCTCATCTCCGTGGTTACTGCTGGGCGTGACATGCTGGGTCACCTCCACAGAGGGCTGACACAAAACAGCCCTCCGACCCTGCACACACAACCTACCACACACACACACAATGCCATGAAAATGATACTTTACAGAACACTTAGAATTTCATACGCACACATCAACAAACGGAACTCACTCATTGGCGGTTATCTCTTTGCTCTGGCCTGCCTTGGAGATGATGGGAGTGTGAGCTGGGGTGGCGTACCACTGGAATCCTTCGTCTGTGGGACACACCAGCTGCGTTCCGAGGATCCTGTCACACACAAATGCCCACACAAATGATTATGGTTAAACTGATAATCATGGTTATATTGCTCAAATATTATCTCAATTATTAATCATGATTGTTATCATTTGAGAAATCTCTTTTTACATTTCATCAGAATTATTGCACTCTCAATTATTTTTCATGTCACTTTTGTTATAGTGTGAACAGCTTGTAACGAAACTTAAAAAACAAGACCTTCCCCGACTTCCTAGGTTGTTTATGAATCATTTTAAATTATGTAAAAAATTAAATGAACAAATCTATTAAAACATCAAAAAGGACTGTATTGTAGCAAAAACGTTGCGCAAGTAGATTTATTCAGCAACCACAATGGTAATCAATATAGTCAAGATTCATGATTTGATCTATAGCATAAGCTGCGACGTGAACACGGACTGGCTGTATAGCACTTTCATTTGAGCAGAGTATCACAGTGGAGATCCGAGAACGTTTTCAATGGATCACTATCGCAGACGATTAAGCGAGAGAAGCAGAAATAGTGATCAATATTAAAATATGATTAATCATGCAGCCCCAACCAGAGACTGCTAAGACATTACTGATGTCCACAGATCTGAGTGTGTGCATGTGCGAACCGGAGGTGAGGGAATCGTGAAGCCCACTCTTGACACTCTTCCTGCAGGCCTTTGAGCTGAGTTTCACACTTCCTCTCATACAACTGTTCTTCAATCTCTTCAAACATCTGCTGGACCTGCCTGGAAGCGGCTTTATCAAATTCCTACCGGAAAAGAGAAAATGAAATAGGGAGAAGGACATGAACTTGAGCATCCAGTTTTGAAGATGCTGCAAAGTTTTGTCAGTTAAGAATAATCACACTAATCAGTCATCTTTCTACGACTCACATCGTAGCCCCACGAGAAGACAGAGCTACGTTCTGTAGAGATGCCAGTTCCTGTGTAACTATGGATACCAGACCAAGACTGCGCTGTGTCATCTGTGGTGAGTGTCTGACATCCTGATCTGATGGATGATGCAGAGGACTCCTCAGACCTAGAAGGAGAGAAAGGGTGTCATTATTTCATAAATTCAAATGTCAGATTGGGAAGAGTGAATATTATAGACAAGAATAAACATTATCTAACAATATACACATTAATGAAAGCCTATACCTTTAATATATACCTGTACAGACACACATTCAACATGCCACTCACCTGCTGTATGAGGACATGTCCTCCTGTAGATCATGCAGGAGTCTGGGAGGATGCCCAGTATCATCATCTGCCTCCTCAGGAAGAGGATGCTGGTCCGGGCAGCTGCGGGACAAACCACGACTACCAAAACCAACAGAGACAGTGGGAAAGCATTCACTAGATGATGACAGGCTAGCTTGATTATCAATCCATCAATCAATAAATCTGTCCATCTATATCAATTGATCGATATATTATGTAATATGTCTGTCTATCTTTATATCTGTCTGTCGGTCGGTCGGATTATCTTTCTGTCTGTCCATCCATCTATCTAAGCATCAATCCAAAGATCTATCTATCTATCTATCTATCTATCTATCTATCTATCTATCTATCTATCTATCTATCTCTATCAATTCGAAGATCTTTCTATCTGACTATTAAAAGATCTAGCAATCCCCAACCAAAAATCTTTAAAAACATAAATCTAGGGAGGAAAAAATTGAGGCTTTTTAAAGTATTCCTTGAGTATTTACACACAGTACTTAAAAAACCGAGATGTATTTAAACGCCAGTCCACATAAGCTAGTTAGTTAGCGACTAAGATATCAAAATGCTGTCTAAGTAGGCAGCTTGAGATCGTTTGTATGATTTATACGCACATCTCTAGGCTGTGGGATACAGGCCGACGGCTGTATCGTGAAATCATCCTCCTGATGCTGTTACAGACGCATCTTCTCCATCAATCCTGTGATCCGACTCCGAGCCTCCTGTGTCCGGACCCGACCGCTGCTGCTGCACTCTCTCATTCTTCACAAACAGGAACCACACAGACCGGAACACAACTGAGCTGATAGAAAACGTGTAGTTATCCAGAACTGAGCTGGGCCGAACCTGACCTACCAAACAAACCCTTGTGTGAATGAGAGAAAAGAGTCCGAGAACATGAAACGGAAATTTGATTATTCCACCATATCGTTGACTGATTTATTAGGAAGGGTTTATTGAAAAGAAAAGTAGTTGTATTCTTCATCCATCCATGATTATCTACTAAACAACAATAACAAAACTGTCATGGAGACCAAGGTGCTCGAGCTCAATGTTTTATGGGAAGTGTAGTTTTCTACGTAGTTTGCGCTGGCTTGACATGTACACTGCTCTCTAGTGCATAGGAGTATAGGGTTACTATCACGAACATGATAAAATCACTTTTACTTTGATTTATAAAATGTTTACTACAAGTCTCTGGCAGATGCTAACAAATAAATATTTTTTTTACACAGCTTAGCCAATCAAAATCAAGGTCCTGAACAATCCGTTTCATAGACATTAAAGTCATCAATCAGTAATTTTGACACCTAGATTAGCTCTCAGTGGCATTTTCATGGGACAAATAGCATGTAATAAATTAATATCTGATTCAAAAGAATAATCAGAAGGGTGACCATTTGTTTTTCATTACTGCCGTTACTTTTGACACTTTTGCTTAAATGTCACCTGGATTGAATTTTCCATGTTACACTATAATTTAGTTGCAGCACATTACAGTTAAAGTGATAATGCAAAAATGAAAATTATTTCTGTATGGGGAAAAATACTGTGGAAGTCAATGGGGTCCATCAACTATTTGGTAACAAATTCTTCAAATGATGTTCTTTTGTATTCAGCACAGGATATGTAAATTCATACAGGTTTGGAACAACTTGAGGGTGAGTAAATTATGACAGAATTTTCATTTTACGGTCTACTTGAATAAGAAATAAGTAGAAGAGCCAGATGTGATGATTAGAAAAGAAATCATTTATAAACATAACACACATCACATACAGCCAGGTGTACAATGCAGAATTTATCAAATCAAACCACAACTTTTATTATTTCATTTAAATCTTTCTCTGCAAACTCTGAGATCCATCAGTCTTTGATGCTCTAGTTAGCTGGGCCAGGTCTTGGTGATTTGTAGGTGGTTGAGTTGGTCTGCAAGGTATTTGTGTTCAGGAAACTTGGCTTGTCGTGCATTTTTTATTTGAAGCGACATCCACTCCCGCCTCTGCGCTGCATGGCCTCGCTCCTGTTCCAGCGTCATGAATGGCCGGCTGATCCAGTATTCATTCTCTGCTTCCTGTTCCAGGCGTTTAATCATATTTCGCTTCATCTGCCAGGTGACTACTCGCGGTCGGCGGTACTTCCCGATCCATTGCTTTCCTGGGATCCCCTTGCGCAAAAGTGCCAGCGTCAAGAACATCCTGCAGCCAGTAACAGGTTACAAGTGTGAATCTGTAAAATATCACCAAGCAGTTAAGATCAAAACATTATAAATTTACACATAAATATCCTGATTTGAGTAAAAATAATTATTTATAATAAAAGATCAAGCTGATTTTTTTAAAAACTGTACTACAGTGAGTCAGTGACATGAACACAACATGATTGTAGCCTACTGTATGTATACATTCTTTGAGAATATATTGAGACTTGAATTTTGAGTTAGAGTTGATAAACAGCGGATATTATCTACAAAATGTATGATCATGTCTTTAAACTCGTAAACAAAACATGTATTTAATAACTAAAAGTACTAACAGTATTTGATGTAAATTTACTCCAGAACTACAAGTCTAAACAGACCAATTTGACCTTGACTTAAAATGCCACTGAAATCAAATCAACAGCATTTCAAATAAAAAAGAGCAACGCCAAAAAAAGTATAATCTACAGGTATATGTCAATCTAGATAGATAGATAGATATGTAAACACTCGGAATAACCCATTTTACTGTTTCTTGCATCACATCATAGACTTGCATGAATGTTGTAAGAAACACTACCATTCGTAAAACAACGACGAAAACAGACTGTGCTTATAAATCTAAATAACGTTACCTAGATATTACAACCAGTCCACTACTTAAAACAACAATAATGATTAAGACATTTAATTAACGTTACTTAACACGATCTTCTCTCCAAATCCGAGACCAGCATGCCGCAGACACACTGCAGCTGAATGTCAGTGGTGGTGAGTTTTTGACACCGCCACCTACAGCACTGGAGGCTGCAGTGCAACGCGCTCTGCTGGCTGATGAACTACAAAAACCTGGAAGGATATTTTCATGCAATCATGAGAGGGACAGAGCTGTCCAGTTCAGTGTAGTCATCAAACTCGACAGACACACGACGCGTTGCATAAATAATAATAAATAAAATTAATACATTTTGATAAATAATTGTATCATATGACAAAAAAAGACGCTGAGTGTAGAGGAGAACTGATTAATTTTTTTAAATCGTCCAGTCCTGACAGGTGTTTCCCCTTGTTTTCATTAATTGATTAACTTGTTTATTTATTTATTTATTTGCATATGTAGTAAAGTCTAGACTAGATAATACAGTACACACGATTCTTGGACATCAATATTAAATCAAAAATGAATAATTAAAAAATGAAATAAAAAGAAAACACAGTCATACCTTCTCACATGACAAACAAAAATAGCCTCAAAAATAGTCACATGTTAGAAGTCTGTCCAATCGGAGTTCAGTACGTACCATGGCCCGGAAGAGTAATCCGGTTCATGTTTTTAAAATCCTCTCCATGTCTTTGATGTTTCTGTGCTCCGGCTCCGGTCGTGTTTTGGTCAGTTCTAGGAGGAGGTAGAAAGATGACAGCCAGAAAGTCCGGGTCGCGTTTAGAGACTGAAATAGAGCGCTGTCGATCTGAGGCACAATGGGACAAGATACCAGAACTCGTGCGGCAGCTGTCTGCGAAACTCATCTCAAACGGTGTGTGTGGTTTATGTACATATTTTCACGGCTAACGCGTTAGCTCTGACAGTGTGTGCCTCAGGCCTGATGACAGAATCCGTGTCTGATTTATTCCCATTCATTTAACTAACGTTTAACGCTTCTTTGAATTAATATTTTGATTTCAGGGTGTCTAAAATATGATATTATTGTTGCCCTTTTGGTAGTGTTCCTCACATCTGCCCAGTAACGTACACTTCCTGATTGCTCACACAGTTGTGTCCATTCATCAATTTCTATTCATATTTGATCAAGTCTAAGTTACTCTATGAAATTATGAAGAGTCATTATTTGGCTTATTATCATGTGAAGGTGTATAATTTCAAATTATAATAGTCTCTTTTGCATTAACTGTAAACACAGATTCAGTTATTTGTTAACAGATAGTTCAATGTTGCATTTTCAAACTTAAACCTCATTAACTCACAATCAGAGAAAGAGAAGTACTAAGTAATACATACAATTAATAATGAATAGAAAAGGGCAGTACACAAATATCACCAGAGGTTAGTTAAAAGTAGAGACTTTTATAAATGTTGAATGCTTTTTGTGTTGACAGATTCTTATATTAATCTTTATAATGTTTTGATTCCTTAAAAAAAAACTTGAAAAGGGTCTTCAAGTTTACAAAGACATTTTTAACTTTAAATAGTTTTTAAAAGTTAAATACTTTTTAACTTTTAGGAATAGTTGTAACTTATAATTAATAATTCATAGTCTTTAAATTTCCATCATTATTGAAATTCCATATAATACTGTAAAAAAAAAACATGATTATTTTATAGAAATTATGTTTAAATATTGTCAAAAGATTGTTTAAGTGAGGGATTGTTTAAAAGGTTCCACAAAAAAAAAATTTTACAATATAATTTGTGAGCATCTGTAAGATGCTTTGACTGGGTAAAATGTATAAATTAATGGAGTCTGTCCTAAAGGTTGGTTTAACATCTATGATTAATACTATTGTGGTACTATTAAAATAACCTGTTGCCATCTTTACATTTAGCCCTGTTCATTAAAAGGTACATATGTATAAACATTATTACACAAGCATTATTACATGCACAAGAAACAGCCGATTAAACCACATGTGATTGTCCTCAGAGCCTTTTAGGAATGTGGTCAGGTCCAAGACTGGATTATATCTGGGCTTTTTGTAATTCTTTTTTCACAATCAGTGTTTATTTGTTGACCTTACTGTGTAGATATTAGTGCATCTCAACGGTTACTGTTTCAGTCAGAAGAGAAAGATGAAAGGGATAGTTCACCCAAAAATAAAATTTCTTCCATGCTTGAGCTCGCTGACAGTCTTTATGATAAAATAGCCTATAAAGTTCGGACAATGTCATGTGACAAATTTCTTCAGTATAGTCCTGGGGTCCGTTCTTCATACCTCGCTTGATACATCTGAGATGATTTAACAGATGCCAAATCTTCTAATCGTGATATCTGTTTGTTTTTGTTTTTTTTCAAACGAATTTGATTAAAATATCTGGATTAAGCAATCTGAGATTACTGTGCATTCCTGTGTTCATTGGAAAGGGCAGATATGTCGATACTCGAAAGCATGATCACCAATGCAGCGATTGGCTGGCAACGTAATAAGAGAGCAACGTAATAAGAGAGCAACGTAATGACATCATATTAAAAAAGAATATCGCACACTTAATGAAAAACGTTAATTTTCTGGACCTTTATAAGGAAACAGCCAATCGACTATTGGCCTTCCGCTTTGTGCTTATTTGAGAGAATTCAGGTGCAAAACTGAACCTCTGCCTCTCTTGTAGATGATCTCGGGGAACTTCTGCTGGGGGAGGCCAAACTCCAGCAGTACCTCAAAGAAAACCCCATTAAGCAGGGAACCAGTCCCCGCGGGCCCCGGCCCCGCCTCCAGGAGGTCCGGAAACACTTGACGGCGGCTCTTGATCGGGGGAACTTAAAGGTAAGCCTGAACAGTCAGTACGATAACTAAAATAAATATATTTCAGGTAGTTAGTTAAAGAATTTTTTATTTTTTTAAAGATTTAATTAAAGATTTATCATAATTACTTAACTAATAAATTGTTATTTTGAACTTGTTATTTTAAACTAAAGTTAAAGTAATGTAAAAACATATTTTGTCATGATTTACATATATTTTTTTTTTACAGTGACTGTGTGTACTATATTGTGACGGTGTGTGCATTTGTCTTTCTTTCCCAGCCTGAATACATGCAGGAGGCCAGTCTGATCATGGCTAAGCTGTGCTATGTGGAGGCTGATTACAGGGAAGCGCTGAATCAGTATGGCCGTGTGAATCTGGATGAGATGCAGCTGGTGGGAGCTCCAGTGTACAGACTCTCCATGATCGCAGAGGCCTATGCCACCAAAGGTAAATAATCTGTGTAGTAACTCGGAAATCAGTTGTTTTTTTTTTTTAGAGCTGCGGGTCTATTACATAGCTGACATTCTATCAGTGTGAAAGCACCATGCGCTGCTTATGTATGCGCTGTGAAACAGACTTGTGACTTGTTCTGGTAAGGAGGTTTCAACTAACCACAACTGAAATTTTCTGCAATCAACTATATATTTCTGTCCTCACTAAAAGCAAACTGCACAAACAAAACAACAAAATCACAGGCAATCACAGCAGTAAGATACTTGATATTCAATATACAGCTCTATGGAGTGGATTTGTTGTAGTGGACCAGTTAGATTTCAATATACATACAGTATAAATTCTATAGATTACACTACTGTTCAAAGATTTCTTTTAAAAGGAAATTAATACTCTTATTCAGCCAGGACAAATTAACTGATTATTAATTGATTAAATTATTAATTAATGCTCCCTATGCATGTGTAATTGCGCGTCAACGCGGACAACGACGCAGAAGTATAAATGAAAACCAAAGCGTAGTCTGTTGCATATAGGCTCCGGCGTAGGTCTGACGCAGAAGTATAAATCAGCCTTGACACCAAATGTTTAAATGGAAGTGAATATAATCATATTCAGTTATAATATAATCACAGTTATTTTATTTTAAAATATGTAAATAAGTGTATAATAAATTTTTTTAAATGTCTTTAATTTGAATGTTATTTTACTCTCACTTGGTCAGATCAGTGTAGAGATGGTACCCTGCAGTTCACTTTTTGACCTTTGGGTGGCAGCATTGATTTAATATGTGGTGCTCTGCAGAGGAAAGTGTAAATCCATTGCACTAGTCTGAACACAAACACACACACTTTTAATTCTGAGCACAGTGAATGTGTTTGCCAAGACCGCAGCATGAGGTCTTTGATCAGAGTTCTGACAGATCGGCGGTACTGTGGGGTTCTGGGGGAAAAACTGCAGGGTGGCACAGAGCCTGTCTCATCCAATCATCTCGTAGCATCTCTGTGACTGACAACTGCCTTTACAGGGGGGCAGCTTCCTCCTTTGACCCTAATCATCCATCACGCCCCAGTTACCACACACGTACACACGTGTGTGTCATCTTGCTGGCACTTCTTGTCTTGTCTCATGTGTGTATTAAACCCTCCGCCATGAGCTGCTTTTCACAGCCTGTCCTGAGGCGTCAGATTTACTGTGGCCGTTAAGAGCCTGATCACGGTAATGGGGCTTGTCTTGGATCTGGCTAGTATAACGGGCCTTTAAACCTCTAAGAAGAGCGGTATGTGTGTGTTTGTTTAGAGGAACATAGCAATTGAGGGGAATAGATTTCTGATTAATTTTTTTTATCTGTTTTAGAACATAAGTCAATGTGCCTAATCCAGACCTTGTGCGGTCTCCAGTGTAGCAGGCCTATATAAGGCAAACGGATTTACAGCATGTACACATGTACTCTCTCTCTCTCCCCCTCTCTCTCTCTCTCTCGAATATTTCCCTCTTTGCGCATCAGTGGGGAACAGCAAGACCATAGACAATCCCTCTGCCCACACGAAATATAACTTTTCCGTAAAGCTAGAGTGTGTAATTTTGTGCCCACATGATAGTGGTTCTTCAACTATAGCACCAAGATCCCCATTGTCCATAACAATATTCAAAAATCCCCTGCCTCAGTTTTGTTCTCAAAACTTGTTTCAATGTAACTTGTTTCCTAGCAATGGATAATTACATTTCAGGATTCCTATTTCTACACAATAATATATTTTAGAGCTTGGTATAACTTGTAAAATGTACATTCATTATGAAATGCTCATGGCGTTTTAAAATGTTTTTCTTTTCTTTTTTTTGACATAACTTTTTCAGGTCTAGAAATCACATTTTATGGGCCATATTTTTTTATTCGCTAAGTAGAGGGACATGCTACTTTTAAAGAGCATTTTATTGGATAATAATTGGACACTTAGCAGCCATTTAATGTTTAGGATTACACACACTACCAATCAAATGTTTGTGGTCAATAAGAAGTCTCTTATGCTCATCAAAGCTGCATTCATTTGAACCAAAATACAGTAAAAACAGTAATATTGTGAAATAATATTATAATTTACAATCATTTATCTATTTTGAAAAAAGTCATTTATTCTGGTATTTGCAAAGCTGAATTTTCAGCATCATTACTCCAGTTGTTAGTGTCACATGATCCTTCAGAAATCTTTCTAATATGCGGATTTGTCAAGATACATTTATTATTATCAATGTTGAAAACATGATTTATTTATTTTTTTACAGGATTTTTTTGATAAATGTAAAGAACTGTTATAGTTATGTCTGTTATGTAACTGAGTTTTCCTCCCATCATTGTGTATCTGGTTCAGTCATGTTTCCAGTTTTACCGCTCCCTGTTAGTGTTCAGTTTATTCACCTGTGTTGAGTTGATTTGCCCCACCTGTGCCTTGTTTCCCTATTCTGTTCTCTGTGTATTTCTCCCTCATTCCTGGGCGGTTCTTCTTTGTGTATGGTGTGTAAATGTTATCCTTTTCCTGAGTGTTATATTAAATCCTGTTAATTCCTGTTCTCCGGCTTCCTTGTGCTTCCAACCACCACATGTACCGGTAACAAGAACAGAATGTATTTGAGATATAAATTTTTGTAACAATGTGAAAGTCTTTACTGTCACATGATCAGTATTCATTTATTTAAAAAAGAAATACTGACCCCCAACTTTTAAAAAGTAGCACAGATGCCTTAAACCTTTAATTAATATTTTATGGCAATCAGTCCACTCTTGTTCTCTTCCTGTCTTACTGAGACTTCACAGTCAGTGCACTTTTAATCAGGGTCTCATCATTACCTTCTCGCTCGTGATGGATTATTTGGCTCCGTTTTCATTTTGGAATCATTTTGTACCAGACCGTTTTCTTCATCCAGTGATATCCGTTTATAAGTCTATATCTATTATTGAAGCAGTTTGAAAACTAGCTAGGAGGGCTACAGTTTCCCGTTACATTCCCGAACTGTCATGAAAACTTTATCTGCATGGAGAACCCAATACTAACGGCATCCAAACAAACAACTGTCATCTTGTTTACTGGCCAACTGAGTCTGGCCTGTTTTCCCTCATGCTATGAGGGATTTAAGATGCGAATTAGAAAGTTGAAGCCAGTAGACAGAGATTGGCCACAGATTGTGTTACATCTCTAAAGAACCGTGCTTGTATCTTTACTTGTATCTTTACCTGGCTCTCAGCTGACCCAGACAAGGGAAGGCGATACGGCAGTGGAACAGACATCAGCTCGTGCTTAAACATTTAAAGCTTTTCTAGTTAGTCTGAGGTCTTTGATTTTCTCACACATGTATATTTCATTGTCTTACTTCCTCTGACCAGCAGCAACATATAAACTACACTTACATGAACGAGACATATCATGTTCAGTTTGACCCGTTCTGAATGGATGTCATATCCCTACAGTAAGGATCAAACAATAACAGTGTATTTCATTAGTCAATTGAATTAGAATTGATGTAAGCGCTGTGTGAAATTCAAGCTTTGCGTCTACATCACTACATTTCACATAATTGAAATGAGTACTGAGTGGAATTAGGATTTTAAATGGAATATGGTTGGATTTGACTTTGGTATTTTACCAGCCTGTGGTAACTACATACTGTATCAAAAACTAAATCGACACCTCAAGCAACAAATAAACAACCTATGAAATGGAAGGGCTGTCAATACATTCAAATGTCAGCATTTTGTGATTAAAATTATCTTTAATCTTAATCTCTCTAGTTAACAATAATTTAATTGTTACATGTATCTAACATATTAAACATTAATTCAGTAAACTGTTGTAAATGTTTATGTAATTTATAAAAATAAGTGAAAAAATAAATCACTAACTAGAATCAAGTATTTTTTCTGACCTTACTGAATGCACAATTCTGCACAAAGCAACAAAATCACAACCAATCACATCTATTGTTCAATGTACTGCGATCAGAAATAGTGAAAGTATTAATTATATATATTATATGTAACAACATATAAACTTATATATGATATACTTATAATAATTATATATTTATAACCTTTATTATAAAATCAATATACAACATTTTTAAAATTATTATTTTTTTATCAATCAATCATTTTTTTATTTAATTTTATTTCCGATCTAATATAGATTATATCTAATTCGATCAGAACAGTGCAGAGATGCATAATGTGATTTAGTTAATTGATAGGTCATTCCTTCATTTTACTTTTAAATGGTGCTGCTATTTCTCCATGGTTATTATGTTGAATATGGTAAATGGGTTAGAAATCATGTTTAATCATTTATCTAATTCCTGATGGTATTGCATAATGAATGATATAGAACTGCTATGCCAAATAGCCCTATCAGGGAACAAAAGTTAGCATCAATTATTGCCATTTTTCACCCATCAGATCATCTTTATTGAAATGAGCTGTCATAAGTCATGAACATCCTTCTGACTGAACAGTCTGGCAGAGCGCTAGGACAGCTCTGAACTTTTCTTGCTGTTGGCATGTGTAAGGCATCTCATCCTTCTGCTGTTTTTTCGTAGGTCTTTGTCTGGAGAAAGTGCCCATGGCGTCCCCATCGCTGTCCAATCGTGCTGCAGACAGAGACCAGGAGATCATCACTTGTTATGAGAAGTCTGGAGACATTGCCCTGCTCTATCTTCAGGAGGTAGAAAAGGTATTTCTAAATGTTCATTCACTACTGTTTTAGCACGTCAAATGTACATACATTTAGTAGCTAAGGACAGATTTGCACCGTTCTGCTGCAGACGGTCAGCCATCCGTGAGTCTAATCTCTTACTGTCCCATCTGTGAACTTTAAATCACAATCTACAGGTCAAAGTTCATTCTCTTGCAGAGGAAGATTCTCTGTTGCAATAGTAGCGCACAGATTCCTCCCCCTGCACAGTGTTTAGTATTTACTGCTTGTGATTTAGCGTTGGTGGGGAAGGGAGGGAGAGTGGAGAGATGGAGAGAGTGAATGATGGCGTGGAGAACGGCAGAGCTTGTATTCTGCTGCAGTGTTGATGCTGCATTTTTTTGGGTGCAGCCAAAGTTCTACGGTTGACTTTCATGCGTGGTGCACTCGTACCCCCCCTAACCACCGTCCTCTCTAAAGTCTTCTCTGTGTAAATATAGCAAATCTGACACTGTGCTTCTTTTGAAGATATGGTCTGAATTAGCTGAATAAGTAACAGAAAGTCACTGGGGGAAAGAGTTTGAGCTTGTTTCAGTAATGATTGACAATGACATTTGATGACGTGTCCTGTCTTCAGGCTCTTAGTGCTGGCATTCAGAACCGCAGTCCAAAGCCTGGCCCGGTCACAACACAGGAACAGGAACTTGGCTACTTCCTAGAGACTGGACTTCAGAGGGCTCATGTTATTCATTTCAAAAATGGGTGAGTGAGTGAGTGAGTGTGTGTGTATTCTCAGTAACATAGGGCTGGGTGATATAACTGAAAATGTTTTTCAGCCTCTTGACAATATTTAATATAGCCTATATTTTGGAAAAGGGTCTCAAGAATCACTATTTTGAAGAAACGGCAAATTAGATAAATGCAAGAAGTAATAAAAAATGGGGGAAAAGGCAATCACTCTAGAGTCTAGTGGATGATATATATTTTTAAATGAAACATTTAAATATATTATTATTATAAAGTTTTATGCACTAATAACACAATAAACAACATTTACTCATGTAAACACTACCGTACAAACGTTTAGGTTAAGTGAGACTTTAATGTAGAGTATTTATATGTATATATATGTAGCAAGGATGGATTAAATTTGTCAAAAGTGACAGTAAAGATGTATAATATCAAAAAATATTGATCGGTACAACTATTTTTAACATTAATGATAATAAAAAGATTTCTTACTACTGATCTACTGTATTTTTGATTAAAAAAAAAATCAGCCATGGCGTGCTTGAGTTTTGAATTAAATCTTTGAAACTGACAGTTTGAACTGATTATTATAACTGTTTTGCAAAACTATTCCAGTGGCACATACTTGTTGAAACTTAATAGTCAACTAAATGAAAAGCATGGTGATAATCATTGTAGATTTATATCACCAGCAAAATCATCTCAAATAAGTTATGTATATACTGTGTATATAGAATTCAATATATCACTCAGCCCTGTCAGTTACATAGCACATTATTATTCATGGCCCATACAGGCTACCTCGGTGTCCTTTCATTTATAATTCCTTCAGTTCGTACATCCCTTGTTTTCACTCTTCACCCCTCTTTCCCTCAGACATATGCTTCAGTGAGTGGTCTAGGAATCTGCTGAGCTTTTTGTCTGCCCAGTGCCCACTAACTGCCCTGTCTTTGTGGCTTTTGTGTTTTTCAAATGCTTCATTAACCCTCTGTAGTTCTCAGCCTTTGTATGTCTGTGCCTCTCATGTTATTTATGTGTGTTCTGATGCCACCATTTCCCCCTGCACCGCGGCTTCTGCACCATGGAGCTGTGTGTTTGACAACTACTCGTACGTATCTCTACACATTCTTCATGTAGAGTAGTGCCTTGCTTTTTTGTAGCAGCTTCACACAAAGCCTAGTGAGCTGCCTACATAAGCAGTCTTTTAAGGTAGCATAGGCACGCTCTCAACATGAAGGCTGCATGAAGCTGCAGTTTAAGATGGCATCGTATGTATCCTTCATGGATAAGAAAATCCCAGAATGCTTTGAAACAAATGGAAAAAAAACTGTCCAAGATGGTGCACAATGCAAGAGATGTTGAATATAAATATACAAATTTATTTAAAGCCAAAATGTATCACTAAATTAGTCAAAATAAATCTATTAAGTCTAATAAAATGTAATGGAAATAAAATCTATTAATAAATATTACAATAGAAATATTACAATATAATTACAATACTGTTTAAAGGTTTGTGGGCATTTGTGGCTTCGTCGAGATTTTTCAGAGAGAAAAACAGTAAAAAAAATGTATAATGATGCAAAGATTTCTATTTAAAATAAAATGCAAAATTCAGCTTTGCTATCACAGGAATTAAGTACATTTTCAAATGTATTGAAATAGAAAATTATGTTTTAAATCACAGTAATACCTTATTTCACTATATTACTGTTTTTACTGTATTTTTGACCAAATAAATGCTGCCTTGGTGAGCATAAGAAACTTATTTCAAAAACATAAAAAAATTATTACTGAACGTAAACTTTTGAAAGGCAGTGTGCCTATAAAATATATTAAACATAAAAATTTTAAGTGACTTTCACATTTGCGTATGTAACTTACATTGCATTCAAAGTGCACATTTCATCGGTTCATCCACTTCCTAGGATTCAAACTGATGAACTTGGGGTTGCTAGCACCATGTTCTACTGTTTGAGCTACAGGAATGTAGATTTTTCAAATTTTACTCAACATTGTATTATTTTTTTGCGTATTAATGTATCAAGCTGTTAGCTTAGCAACATGCTCACTTTAAACATAATAGAAATCAATTGGGAATCGAGTCACACAGCAAGGCAGCTTACTATTTCTGGAGCAAAACAAATCAAACAGAGAGAGGAAAAAGAAAAGCCTAGATTATGTTTTGATTCCCAGGTGAACTAAACATGGAGGATCCCACAAGCTGATTAATCTCTTGTCAGCAAAGATTTGATTTTGTTTACTCTGATAGACCCTCTGATTGCAGAGAGTAACACGTGTAGTCAGTGATCTTCCTGTTGTAGAAGGAGAAGGGGAGGCATGGGATAGCTGAAGGAGTAGGAGACGAGTTCATCCCATACCCTGTAGCATTACAAATGTATTATTGTACTTTAGTTAGACTTGGCTAAGTCTTGACGAACAAGGACTGCAGGTACCAACATCTCGTGTTTTTTAATAAATTACTCTGCTTAAAAGATACAACCAAGTCTCCTGGTCTTCGCTTCTGAGTTCCTACACTTTAGAAGAGAAAAGTTCACAACAACCCTAATCTTTCATTCTAACCAGAGGTACACCTTTATTTTTAGCGCTAGCTAAAAACATTGTTATTATTTATTTATTTATTACAGCACTAGCGTGAAACGTGAGTTGGCCTTACACAGGCCAATTTGAACTGTTTATGAGAATGTCCATCATTTTTTTTTATTGGTGCAGTGAGATTGTGGTTGGGGAGGGATCTACCATATGGATGCAGGTGGGGCATTTGTCAGTGCTTGTAATGCATCTGTGTGAAATATGACCGCTGCAGTGGTGCATTGTGGGTAATGTATCTGTTAGGCTCATAAATGATTGAAAGCAATGTCCTTAAATCTCATGCAACATGCAGTTCTTACACCACAACAAATGTTCAATGCTCAGTCTGTGTGCTATAAAAACACTATAGACCGGTTTACGGGTATTAAAGTGATTGCTGTTTTCATTTTATGGCTGATATTAAAATTCTATACTTTTTATATTATACAGTAATCCTAAAGTTTTAAAATTCGGATAAAAACGTGACTGGTTTTGAACTGACGCTTGAATTGACTTTTTTATTTGTTAATCCGTTTTCTCTCTATCCAACTCACTCTCATCTCTATTTTGACACTTCTGTCTCTTTCAACTTAACTTCTGTACTGCGTCTCCCTGTATTCACGTGAACCTCTGCAAGCTATATTCTCTTTTCTTTTCACAAACATCCATTCATGGTTTGTGTGTTTCCATGTGCTATCAGTTTGTGTCTGATGACGATATCGACCCCAGTCATTGACAGGCTCCAACACATTCACAGGTTGTGCAGAGATCAAATAGGTGTTAATTGTGACCGTATCAAGAACTACTGTAATTGATGTGCTCTTCCTGTCCACTGATAAGTGACTGCTTTAGTCTGACGACTTGATGTTAGAGCTCATTAAATCATGGCAGAGGTCTGACTTGTCCTGAGGGTGTCTGTCCGTGTGTTTCCATGTGTTGGTCTATGAATTTTGTTCTGAGTTGATGTGAAATTTGTTGACGTCAGCTGTCAGGTTTCTTCAGCTCTCTAGAGGTGATTTAATGTTTTGCTTTTCTCTCTATTTCCCGGTGCTGCAGTAACCTGACCCATGGCGTCGGCCGCTTCCGGGAGATTCTCCGAGCCGTTGAGACCAGAACCACTCAGAACCTGCGTATGGTGAGTTGTGTGTGTTTATAGCTTCATTTTGTTGTCTTTATCTAGAACAGTAGATGTCAGCCTTTCTTGACCCCAAGTCCTCTCATTATCCAAGACAATGTTCATTGACTCCCCATGCAGATTTTTTAATGACAAAGCTGCTTTTAATTTACAGAAACAGGGGGGCAGATTCACAAAATTCTTCATAAAATTCTTCTTAACTACCAAATTCTTCTTATTTTCTAACTTAAGAAAAAAAGATAAGAATATTTTGTATTCCCAAAAATATTTTTTAAGAATGTTCTTATCTTTTTTTTTCTTTCTCGAATGTAAGAAGTTTTCATAATCATAAAAAGAGCATCCAAAAGAGCATCTGCATCTTGAGACGGGCTCTTTTATAATAATGATTTTCATGAACTTGATCAACGCATTAAAAACACAACAGGGAGTGATTAAATCCCGTCAAGCCAGTCGTGACGAATATAGTTAGCTTATTATGATAACTACGGTAATTTGCAAGCAGTGCAGAAAGACAAGCTTTGATGTGTTTTTCATTCAGCTTTACCTTTCAGTCAAATAAAAAATTACACCTTTCATTTTCTTCTCAAGTAAAAAGAAATTAAGATGTTAAGAACATATTTCTTCTCACTAACATATTTTAGAAAAACATTATACATAATACACAAATTAGAAAAAAAACATTATATTATTATATTCATTATAGAAAAGTCAAGAAATTACACTTTTAAATTACTACTTACTGTATATCCAGGTTTTCCAAGACTTTGGGGAGCCTGGTTCTTAAATAAAATTGACCGGGTTGAGGGAGCAAGTACAAATAAGAAATTTTGCCAGGTTTTTTTGCCAATTTTGCCAGTCGAAATGGCATCAAATGTGCAGTCTGCGAAGATGTTATAGTGGATACCAAACATGTGACACTGCAGAATGTTGCTGTGTTTACCCTACACACACGGAACGATAATTTAGGGGATTCACTCATGTAATTAAATACATAAGTATTTACACAAGTTGTCACTCCTGAAACTTTACAGTTTGTTTGTGGCCTTTACATCATCTTGGAAGTTTTCTTAGGCCCTGTAGTGGGCCCCTGTTGAGAACTACACTGAAGGTATATGTTTATGTGTGTTTGTGTTTGTGATTAGACTATTGCCAGGCAGCTCGCAGAGATCCTGCTGAGGGGCATGTGTGAACAGAGTTACTGGAACCCCCTTGAAGACCCCCCTCACCACTCCCCACTGGATGATCCGCTCAGACACAACCCACACATAAAGGACTATGCCCTCAGCCGCCGTCCACGCATCTACTCAGGAGAGAAGTAGGACATATCTCCAGCTCTCCTAGATCGTGCTTCTCTCTTCCCATTTATTTAGTGGCATGTCTAAAGCCCGAAGTATACTTAAGTTGTGTAATGCAAACCCGGTTTCACAGATTAGGTGCGGTGATGGACAGCTGCACACTCTCCTCAAACATTGTGTTCATCCGCGCGGTGCCGTGTTCAGGGTGTTGAAGTACAGCTCGTGTAAAGTTGATAATTCCGTGAATGACTGCAATTGCAGATTTTGAACGGAGATGGCGACAAAGAGGAAAAACGCCGGACAAATAGTTTTTTTCAAATAGTAGTATTTGAATATAAAAAACACAGGGTTTGTTGCAATTTGGCAACAATTTGGCTCGGCTTTTTCTTGTTTAGTGTGGACAGACCCTTTAGATTTCTTGCTTTTGTTGGATCTCGCCAGGTTGACGATTTTCTGCTTTTATTTTTATGAAGTAGTGGAAAAAATGGGAAAAATGAAATGATCAGTATTCTGGTCATTTGTTTCTCGTTACTGTATTCATGATGTCATGGATAGAAAAGTTCACAATATGGCCTTTCTTTCTCTGTCTAGTTTGTTTTGTCCGCAGGAGAACACAGAGGAGGCTTTACTTTTGTTGTTAATCAGTGAGTCCATGGTGAGTACCAGTAAAACTCCTTTGACCTTCTGAACTGCTGTTATGTGACCACCAGCACTAGAGCTACAGTAGAACATGACGCTGCAGTTTCTTAGCATAGAATGCCCATCATAATAGCACTGAAAGCAGTGTTAAACCATTAGCTCTCTTGCTCATGTGGCTTTTCTTTCATTTTCTTTAAACTGAGGGCCCAACAGCTCAGGGAGTGACTGTGTTCAGTTATAATGTGTTTTTACTTAGGCACAATGTGATCAAGCAGTGTTTTATTTTATAGAAATATTTACTTTACTACTGCAGTGTCCTATAAGGGAATAAGCTGTCTAATATTATCAGTAGCAGCATCTGTTATCAATAGTTCTGGTATACACTACTATTCAAAAGTTTGGGATCAGGTTTTTTGAAAGAAAGAAATTAATATTTTTTTATTGATTTAAGCAAGCATTTCAAATATCCATAAAAAAATCCTTACTGTAATTTATATAGATCAGTGATCACGGTTTGCACAAAAATATTAATGTTTACAACATTGATAATAATGTTAAGATGTCGTGAAATATTTCTTGATTAAATCACCAAATCACCAAAAAAAAGGACCATGTGACACTGAAGAGTGAAGTCTAGGAACTAGGAAAATAGAAAACAGTCATTTTTAAATTGTAACATTTCACAGTATCTCTGGTTTTGCTGTATTTCGATCAAATACATGCAGCCTTGGTGAGCATTAGAGACTTCTTTTGAAAAACATTCAAAAAATGTTCCCAACCCCAAACATTTGAATGGTAGTGGGGTGTGTGAATGAGTATATTAACTTCTGTACTTATCGTAGGCTAACAGAGACGCCGTATTGAGTCGAATCCCTGAACACAATAATGACCGAATCATCAGCCTCCAGAGTGCCTCGCTGGTGTATGACCTGCTGACCATCGCGCTTGGCCGCCGCGGACAATATGAGATGCTCTCAGAGGTAAGGTCCTGCCCACACTCATCGGTATGGGAACGCTCAGGAATACTCCCACAGTGGGACGAGTTAAACCTCCTGGTGTGGTTGCTGTGGTAACGAGACCAGACATGTACTCTAGACTGCACCCTCTCTGTGTGCGTGTCTGTGACTGGTCTAGAGGAAATGCCCAAGATTTATTTAATTTTTTGAGCATATAACAACCCAGAATGCTGCTTCAACTGATTACAATATTATATTATATTATATTCGTTCAAATAGCTTAAAAAGATCCGATAGCTGATTCGAACGAGTAATGTTCGACGGCGGCATCCATCTTTGTAATGTAGGCTACAAAATCTGCTTCAAAATCCCAGCGCTGTCGTCATCGTGTAAAGCCCGCCCCAAACGTTTCTGATTGGTCCCGTGATTTCGAAGGATTGGAAATGGGCTTAAATGAGCTCTTTGCCAGACTAACTTTCAGAGCAAATCTAAATTTGCCGGAACTTGTCTGGGTTTTCCCAGGCTATAAGTATGCACTATACAGCATTATTTATAACTGTCTACTTGGTTTCATTTTAGCCATGGACAAACCTGAAATGTTTGTTTTCAGAACCCTGGTCTATTAAGGACAAAGTGAAAAATGTGTGCGTGCGTTTGTGTGTGTGTTTTGTATTGTGATGTTTTTTTTGGGTTTTTTATTAGTGTACCTGGGCATAATTTTCTGTTCCATCTCCATCTGTTGATCATGCTGTTGTTGCTAATGTTAGACTCAGCATAACTTTTGCTGTGTCTTTTATATTCAAGGATTTTGTGGTTGTGCAATCGCAGGACCCCTGGAGCCTGCCAGATTTATTGTGTGCCCTCTGCAGGGTCATGTGTGTTTGTGTAGATGTTTGTTATATAGATCTAATTGTTCAATGAATTGCTTTCTGCTAAGCTGCTAGTGTGATTAACTGTAAAGCCTCAGAGACACACTGAAAAGCCTGTGGCACCCTGGGTAATCTACGTCAGGAGACATGGCCTGGCTCTGTGTTTGACCTTTGTGTATGTATCTGGTAGGGTCATAATTATTGTTCTCAACTCTTATCTGAGATTATCTTAATGTGTCCTCTCCACAGTGTCTCGAAAGAGCCATGAAGTTTGCCTTTGAGGAGTTTCATCTCTGGTTTCAGCTCGCTCTCTCTCTGATGGCCGCTGGGAAGGTTAGTGTTCCATTTTAAAACTCATGTACTCCAAAGTTTCCGTGGTCATGCAAAAACCTGAAACATTCAGGCAATGGTGAAGTTGTGATTTCAAGGCCTACAGTATAAAAATAACTAACTTCTTTTATATAGATTTAAAATAAAATATCTTTATTTTACATATGTGTGTGTATATGAAGAGTTCAGATGCAAAAGCCTCTAAGTGCCATTTGAAATTTTCTTCTAGAATGATGATTTTTATCAAACTTGTATATTTAAGTTCAGTGATTTCACTTAAATGGCAATGATAATTACCTATTAATTGTTATTTAAGTGAAATTACTGAACTTAAATATACAAGCTTGATAAAAATCATCATTAAAGAAGAAAATTTCAAATGGCATTTAGAGGCTTTTGCATCTGAACTCTTCATATATATATATATACTGTATATATTATAATGTATGTGTGTGTATGTGACGAGGCTTTCAAAAAGGATGCAGGAAAATTGGAGGTGCATCCTCTCACTCTCCAAGTAAGCTTCCTGACGAGTTGCAGTACAGAACTTTTTACAGAGTTTTTCTTGTCCGACGGAGGAGTTCTGCACCTCGACTCAACAGGGTGCTTATTTGAAGAGCTGAGATATATCGGCATTTCCGACACCAGTTTTGACGTTATCGCTGTGTGTCACGTTAAGAGTGATGCAAAAGACTATTTAAAATCTGATTTGAGCAGCCAGAGCATCCAGACTGAGATGCGTCTGTAAAGGTCTGATGGGAATCGCATTTCAAACCACCTCTAAATGTGGTTTGAAAAAGATTTTTTTGTGGAAAAAAATGAATTTATGGTTGTTGTTTTAACTCATCTGGATAAATTCTAGAAATACAAAAAATTTTAGATTTTTGCTGGTAGTTTAAACATTATGTATATTATTTATAAAATATATCTAATATTTTGCTAGAAATTACTTTTCATCAGTGCAATATCTGTGTTTGTGTGCGTGTGTAGTCGGCTCGAGCAGTGAAGGTGCTGAAGGAGTGTATAAGACTGAAGCCAGACGATCCCACCATCCCTCTGTTGGCCGTCAAGCTGTGTATTGGAAACCTGCACTGGGTAATGAAAGCGTAATCATGGGAAATATGCACAGGCTCTACTGGAGAGCTGACACTGACCTGTTTATGACTTTGTAAATCCATTACTGTTAGACCAGCCATGAACAGTGAGATGGTGATGACATGCGGTGTGTATTTGTGTGTTTTAGCTGGAAGAAGGTGAGCGCTTCGCTAAAATAGTGATTGATATGGGTGAGAAGGCTGCTGAATTCAGGGCCAAAGGCTATCTAGCTATTGGTCTAGTCTACAGTCTGAAAGCCACAGATGGTGAGCAAACCTGCACAAGGACACAGTGTCTATACCATTTCTTAACTCTTATATGACTGTAATATTTTTTGTATCCTCCATAAGACACTATACATTTTTTATTATTCATTTATAATATTTTACAACAAAATGTATTTTCTCTTTAATCTTTTTTTCTTAATCTTTAACCTTCTCCGACCTCTGTAATACACTATATACTTTCTATAACACTATACACTTTGTATAATCCTTTATAAGTGGATTAAACCAGATTCCAGATTCAGTTTGTCATTCCATAAGATTCAAGTTGCTTTTAGTCAGTTTTTTTTTTTAATAAAAATAATTAAACTTTAAATGACTTAATCATAATAAATGATTTTGTGTGTTTTATTAACTAGGCTTTAATTATATATATATTAAATTAGAATTAGAATATGTGCCCCTGCCAAACTTTTAAGCTTCCAGGTTGAGAATCACAGTTCTCAACCCTTTCTGCAGTTGATTTATTATTTTCCCGTTCTCTGTTCTTATATAACACACTCTTTAAGCACTCTGTAACTCTCTGAAATGCCTTTTGGAATCGTTTATATGCTTTCCCTACATTCTATTACCTGCACTATACCCTTTCTATAATCCATTTATACTTTATAACCCATCTCTTTTCTTATATAACACACTCTGTACCTCTCTATAATGAAAATTACATAATTTATAATGGTCTCGACATTTTGTCTTTATAATCACTTCATAATGATTTACACATTTTCTATTTGCTCTATTACACACTTTATAATCCCTTGATACCCTTTCTCTAACATTTAGGTATCAGAAACTTTACAGTTTTATTGGTAGTATCCTGTTTTCTCTCTTTATGCTTTATCCTTACCATCTTCTCACATCTCTGTCACCTGTCTTTACAGCATCTCTTCGAGGAATGCAGGAAGAGTATCAGAAAAAAGCGCTGAGTGCTTTCCAGAGGTAATTTTCAGACTGTCCTACATTTCTCTCTCTCTCTCTCTCGCTCTCTCACTCTCTCACTGATGAAACACTGTTTCTCTCTCTCTTAGAGCACAGAGTCTGTCCCCCACTGATCATCTGGCTGTTTTCTACCTGGCACTGCAACTGGCTGTATCTCGACAGGTAGGAGAATCAAAATCTGCTTCGTACACACAGGTAGTAAGAATTAAAACATCTCAACATTCAGATGATGGTACGGTACATGATACATTTCTCCTCCAGTTTGCTTTTGATACCTAGGTGACTGTAAACATTTGCATATGGCTAATTTCAACTGCTTCAAGCCACACAGGGCTGGGCAATATGGCCAAAAATATTATTACATGTGTGTTTCTTTCTATCATTCAATATTGATATTTATCACAATATTCATTAATGAGTCATTAATGATGAAGAATATGCACTACGCATGTTTGTTAGAACATCAAAGATTTTTTTTAGACCTGTTAGTCTACATGTAGGCTAAATTACTTAAGTTAAATCAATATTGTGTTTGTATTTATTTTTTCAATAAATATCATTATTAATTTATCTCCAAAACCTAGCCACATCTCACTCTTCAAGTTCTTGTTTTGTCCTCATTTTCCTGTCAGTCTGTCTCTCTCAAATGCCAGTCTATTATTTTTCCTTCTCATTTCTCTCTCACCCTGTTTAACAATCATCTAATAAAAGCGTCTCTTGTGTGTGTATGTCAGATTCCAGAAGCTCTCGGTTATGTTCGCCAGGCGTTACAGCTGCAGGGCGATGATGTTCATTCACTGCACCTGCTGGCCTTGCTGCTGTCAGCTCAGAAACACTACCACGATGCTCTCAACATCATCGAGATGGCCCTCAGCGAATACCCTGAGAACTTCATGTGAGTCCAACACGCTCACAATCACTGTCACACTTTAACTAACCTCTCCAACTTCTAGTTGGATTGGATGTAGCCTTGTTTTTTGACTGCACTGAGTTGATACAGTTGTCAGCAGCCAATCAGAGAAAGGGCATTCTTGGATAAGAGAACCAATTAGATTATTCCATGCTTTTTTGCACAGCATTTGTAAAGCCTTACTCACACACACACACACACACACATGAACACACAGCAGCAGGCAGTGTTTAGACATTTAGAGGCATGCCACAATGCCCACTCTAATGAGAATGTTTGTGGTCGCTGTAGCAGCTGAGATAGATGGGTACATATCTGCTGCTGGCATCTTCAATTAGACGAGTTAGAAGTATGCGTGTGTGTTTGTGTGCTGGATGTTTGGAGCACTGGGCAGTCCCCACGCAAATTCCCTTCACATTCGATTTGATCAGAGTTCCCTCTATCTCTGAGTTTATGTCTGAGTGTCTGTGTGTTGTCCTTCTTCCGGCTGTGTGCTTCAGCCACTTACATAATAGGAAAAAAATACAACAGCTTTCTGTTTCCTCCAATCATATGGCCCTCTTTTTCAACCTGTTTTCCCTGAAGGGTTTTTGTGTTGTTTGTGTGTGTGTGTGTGTGTTTATCCAGTTTGTGTGTGTGTGTTTCCATGCATTTTGCTTAATTGCCTTGAATGGAAATGCACCAGAACATCCAGCCCACCTTATTCCACACACACACACAGACAGACATATGCGACAAGATTAATTCAGTGCTTGTGTGGGCGTCCTAGCGGTGTAGCGTGCAAATACAGCAGAGATGAAAGAGCGGATGATGAGAATGTGCCTTCAGCTCTTTGAATTGGCTGAACTCATATCAGCGTGGCCTTCAGAGACTGCAGCACATGTATGAAGCTCAAACTGATCTCGGTTCAGGCTACAACGACAACGAACTGTTGAAGATCAACCTCAATAAATGGGATCTGCTTCACTCACACACACGCACCAGCTGGATTTCCTCACACTGCCATATCTGATTATAGATATGCCCCTCCCCAAACTCCCATACACATATGTACAATATACAACACAGAACTCAATATAACACAAATAAATCATTTGGATTATTGGATATATATTGTTTTATATATTTTTTTATGTTTAGATTATCTAGCTGTCATCTAATTCTTCCAACTGTTAATTTAACGTGTTTTAAAATGTTATTTATTCCTGTGCTGGCAAAGCTGAATTTTCAGGAGTCATTACTCCAGTCTTCAGTGTCACATGACTCGTCTATGATAAATAGATATCTTTCTAACAGTCAATTTAATGCATTCTTGCTAAATAAAAGTATTTATTTTAAAAAGCGTTCTGTACTTTTAATTTTATGATGCCTAAATTAAATTTAAGCATTTAAAATAGTTGATTTAATGTTTTATTTTTAATGTATTTTGACAAAATTGTGTACAATGTTAAAGTTGACTGTATATTATGAATGAAACCTTTATTATGGACTAACAATTAATCACAGTTGATTTCTCTATACTGTACACAGTATTCATTATTTAGCTCTGCTGTGTTGATGTTTTTTAAAGGGCCCCTATTATGGCATTTAAAATGTTCCTAATATTGTTCTGGGGGTCCCCAACAACAGTTTTACATGAATGCAATGACAAAAAACACGTTTGTTGTCTTATAATATGCATTTATTTTTACCTGATTTGCTTACCCCCAGGTGAAAAAGACGTTGTATTAAATGTATTAAAAATATATTTGAAATACAAATAGTGTGTTTATAATACATTTGTATTTACAACATGCTTATTTAAAGTGTACTAAAAATGTATTTTATTGCATTTTAGTATATTTCTAAAAAGTATACTAGAAGTACATTGGTAATAATATATATTTAATTACACTTTTAAGAAATATACTATAGAAAAGCATACTTTTAATGTATTTATAAAAAGTATATTAGTAATATATTGGTAATAAATGTATGCTTTATTATATTTTTAATAAATATGCTAATGATAATTATACTTTAAATGTATTTCTAAAAAGTATATTAGAAGTACATTGGTAATAAATATATGTTTAAATACACTTTTAAGAAATACACTATAGAAAAGCATACTTTTAATGTATTTCTAAAAAAGTATATTATTAGTACATTGGTAATAAATGTGTGCTTAATTATATTTTTAATAAATATGCTAATGACAATCATGCTTTAAATATGTTTCTAAAAAGTGTACTAGAAGTACATTGGTATTTAATTACATTTTTAAGAAATATGCTAAATACAAACATATTTTAATTATATTTAAAAATGTTTTACTAGAAACGCAATGATAATAAATATACACTTAATTACACTTTTAGAAATATGCTAAAAACAAACACAGTTTTAGTGAAGTTTTAGTGTATTTACAGAAAGCATACTTGTTGCTAAATTAAAGTATTTTTGTGTTCACTTCAAGTTTAAAAATTCAAGTCAAGTCCCTTTAATTCCCTTCCTAACATGAAGGCAATTAAACATGTATCGAAATTAATTGTATATTTCTACAAAGACTAGAAGTAGCACTTTAATTATAAATATGTGCTCAGTTAAGCTTTTAAGAAATATACCAAAAACTACCACACTTTTTGTAATACTACCAACACTTAACTCAATGCATATGTATTTCACACTTTATATTATGTGTTTTAGGTTTAACTTTTTTAAATTAATTTGTTATAATTATGAAAAGCACTAAAATTTGACTAACAAGTAATGCACTTCTATACTTCTGCATTAATTAATCAAATAGTCTTTTCCACAAAACAAGTGAATACCAGTACGTGCACACATCAACATAAAAGATCAGGTGTACATACTAGAAAAACAAAATAAATTTCTTAAAGCTTGACTCTTACATTTGTTTAGTCAAAATGAATAAAAAAACTTGTTATAAAGCATGTTATGTTTATATTAACAGAGTTGTTTCTTTTTTGTGGATGTTAGTTAATATTTCCAGTTGCATTCATTTGGACCAATCAGAGCCAATCTTTTCAAAACAAGCTTGCCGGCAATCGTCCAATCACACACTGCCATTTGAACTTACATGTTGGGCGGGGCGCGGACAACGGATACTGACTGTCTGTGGTATTCCATTAGCTTCGGACGGATATCTCAACAGAAATCATGTAGCAGCTATTTTCCAAATTTTGCTTTGTTATTTCACTGGCTCGGACCTAGTGAATGTGGATAGCACCGATGTAATATTAAGAGAACACACGAGCAGATTACCAGGTCGTCAGCTCCCGCGAACAATTTAGCAGTGAAGAGGACAACGCAGAGCTGCGCCGCCACGACATGGACAGAGCAAGATACTGCCAGAAAAGATCTTACTTCTTGGTGGTAAGTTTATTAGTTTAAGTGATTAGTGTAATTGGCTTTATTCTCACTTTGGGTTTAGCAAATATTTTCAGAAGTTGATGACGATGTTCTGTGGATTACTGGCGTTTCTGTTGATTTGACACTAAAGCGAGTTAACGTCTATCCATTGACGTCTATCAACTTAATTGTTATAGATCTAGACAGTGACATAATGCAACTATAAAAACATTGCACACTGTGTTTTCAGAAAAAAGGTTATTAATGGTGATTACACGACAGGCTTGATTGTCCCTAAGTAACTTCTTGTGTTTTAAATATTATAATATATTTTAAGCTCTAATAAAACTTTCACATTTGTGATATTTAATTCATAGTAAAATCTAATTAATTATTAGTTACTAAGTTATCAGCTGTCACCAACTTGTAACTTTCAATAGAATGTTCTGTCTTTATTAATAATGAATAATTACTTCAATAATAGCGTGGAAGTTACAGTAATGGTTCATTAAATATGTTTTACCATTTAAACAAAATACAAATTATATATGAAGAACACAAACTAGTGTTTGTTCTGCCCTAACTTTGTATAACATGCAACTTTATTTTTTTTTGTAGAGCTTCCAGGGATACTATCATCTCTCAAAGAGGCCCTGGAGTCCATGAAACGAGGTTCATTCAGCTCAAGCCCAAGATCATCTGAGCTGTCTTCCTGAAACCTCAGACATGGTAAGAAAATTCTTTATGATAAAGAAAAATCCTATTTGTTATAATAATTATATCTGACTTTTGTGCATTAATACTTCAGTAAGTGTTCTGAATTAAGTAACAAAGTGACAGCTTTTTATTAGAATTATAAATGAACAAGTTTATACTAATGCTTGTTTTTTTTATTCTTTCCAGATTTCCCTCGGTGGTTCTGATGTCCCCAAAAGAGTCTATGGCAGACTGAACAAGTCACGAACTTCTCTTTTTACTCACGACTTGGCCACTTTACTTTTTGCTATTGTATTTCACTGTGTTTGACTTAAAGGATTAGTTCACTTAAAAAAAAAAAAAACTTTTGCTGATAACTTACCCACCCCCATGCCAAGATATCCATGTCATTCTTTCTTCAGTTGAAAAGAAATTAAGGTTTTTGATGAAAACATTTCAGGATTTTCTCCATATGGACTTCATTGGGAACCAAACGGTTCAAGGTCCAAAAGGCAGTTTCTGTGCAAACTGTTCAAAGGGCTTTAAACGATTCCAGACGATGAATAAGGGTCTTATCAAGCGAAATGATCGGTCATTTAAAAAAAAAAAAAAAACAACGTTTAAGTTTTATAAGCTCAAATGGTCGCCATGCTCTGTTCTGTTATGCATGTTCATAACTCTCCTATTCAAACTCGTTCATCAAAATTAACAAATCTTTTTCTGAGTCATTAGGTTCATTCAACGAACGAAATGAATGAATTGACTTGAAAAAAGATTTGTCAGGGCTGCCAACTCTCAAGCATTCAGCACGAGACTCTCGCAATTGAGCAATTCTCATGCTTTCACGACAAATTGACTGTTAGCCATTGGACCTTGAACCGTTTTGTTCCCAGTGAAGTCCATTATATGGAGAAAAATCCTGGAATGTTTTCATCAAACCTTAATTCCTTTTCGACTGAAGAAAGAAAGACATGGACATCTTGGAAGACATGGGGGTGAGTAAATTATCAGCAAAAGTTTTTTTTTTAAAGTGAACTACTCCTTTCAGTTAGTTTATTTATTTATTTATTTTTTGTTCTGTTTAATACCTCTGCAAATCAATGCATTTTATGTTAATGTATTTTGTTTAGTTTTCATAATGCTTTACTGATGTAGTGCATTAAAGTTTATCTTTCAAAGAGTGTTTGTGTGTTTTGTAGAAATATTTTTTTACTGGGTTTTGTTGAATTAAAATGTTTAACTGTATTTTTAATACATTAAAATATATTATTTTTATATTAAATGGTTTTTGGAAAAAATATATTTTTAATATGTTAATAGTGGGTCCTATATTGTTCTACAAATACATTATTAATAAGCTGAAATTATATTTAAAATATACTTAGAACGCATTAATGTGAAGCTAAAATATACTAATGCTGTATTTCTAAAATCGATTTAAAGTGTATTAAAATACACTTTAAATAAGTGCTATTATATTACATTAAATGTACTTAAAATGGTTCCATTTTAGCACAATTTAATATAATAAAATATATTACTATTACCTTAAAATTGAACTTAAATACATATTAAAGTACACTTAATATACTTGAAGTTGTTTCAATTTAGCACATTTAATACATATTTAATACGGTGCACTTAAAATACATTAAGTATATCAAAATAAGTACATTTTAAATACATTTCCTTTTCACCTGGGCCGACTCCCAAATGATTCGTACAACGACTTCCAAACCACTCCTTTGCTGATTAAAGATCCCATTCTTCATGTTTTTTTGAAGCTTTGATTGTGTTTACAGTGTACAATATAACATGTGTTCATGTTTCGTGTGTAAAAAAAAAAACAGTATTTTTCACACAATTTACTTACCCGTATACGGCTGATTTCACTGTCCAAAAAACGGCCCGATGACGTCCTTACTTTATGAAGCCCCACCTTCAGAAAAACATAACGAGTTCTGATTGTGCCAGCGGTTCCTGTGTTGTGATTCGATAGCAGCTTATCGCACGTTGCCCGGAAAGGTCACGCCTCTAACAATAAATTGGAGATTCACGCGCATCTGAAGTGCTTCTTCTCCGTGGGAGCGCAATAAGACCACGCCCCCTTTTTTTGTGTATTCCTCTGGGCGGAGAGTAGTCAAAAAAACTGTTCTAGTTACGTCATTATAAAAGGATGACGCTGTATGCTTTGAAAGGGGGCTTCTGTTAAATAAAATATCTCTCTAGGCATTGAACTGAGCTTTATAATTTTACAGGTATTATTTATGCTCTAACATCAACATCACTCACTAACTAAAGTTTGAAAAATGGAATCGTGAAGAACGGGACCTTTTAATACGGCTTTCAGAGGGAATTTACACTGATTAGTCTTTATCGGTGTTCAATAAACTCAGCTCTTCTCTGTTTATTTAACACTTTCAGATGGAAGGAAAGTGAATATTAACTTTTTTTATTTGTCTCTGTAGTCTTTTATTTACAAAGGTGAAGTTGGAGACGTTGTGTAGAGGCCCAGAGGAGGCGTTGCTCTCCTGCAAACGCATGCTGCAGATTTGGAAATCCTGCTACAACCTCACCAACCCCAGGTACACAAACACACCCTTTATCTCTCTCTCTCCAGCTGTTGACACATGAATGCTTGAAGCTCAAGTGTCTGCACTCACCATCACACATAAGACAGCACAGCATGTCTCGCTAACTGTGAGGAGCTTACCACTCCTTCATTAAAAATAAATAAAAGCACAGCTCGTACCACTGCTGCATACTATGATTCAGTCCTTCTTTCTCTCACTCACTCTCTCATTCTAATGGCGGTAATACCAACCCCCCGCTGTCAGAACACTCCAGCTCTTCCTGTCAAACTGTCCTGAACTACGTACCTGGTGACAATCCACTGGAGACCAATTAGTGTCCAGACACAGTAACCAAACTCTGCCACTGCCACATACTCCGAGTTCCTTCCTCCAAACCCTGGGTAGAGCCACTGTGTCAGGACCACTTGAGCTTTTCCACCCTTTACCTCACCGCTAATACATGCTCATAGTCTTCCTCGAACACCAAACAGTTGCTACTCCATCAGAGGTGTTGGGCAGAGACTGTATGATGAGGAAGAGACGTGTAGTGACATTTCGGTAAAACTTGTTTCATTCTGTATTGTAGCGACGTAAGAAGTATAGCTCACACGGAAGTCACTTTCCATTTTTTTTATCTAGGTCTATGTTTTTTTTGTTTTATTTATACTTGCATTCCCATATGATTTCATATCTTGGGATCATCATGACTTGAGTTTGGGCACTTTTGATTTGGGCCAGTAAGCAACCATTTAGCAGTTCCCTTGCAGCTATTCAGAGTACACGAGCAACCACCTAGCATTGTCCTGATAACCACCAGTAACACCTTAACATCCTGGCGCCAAGTCTTCTCACGCTCGCATTTTCTTTCTTAGTTCTTCTCTTATTTCTATGCTCCTTTTCAAATGAACAGTGTCGCAGGAGCATTGTGGTTGTGTGTGTGCTATAGCAGTGTACCATGAGATGTTGAGTGAAATTTCTGAGGGTTTCATCATTCTGTGTGTATTGATGTGCAAGTATCACATCGCCTGTCTGTGTGCTTGAGCATTAGAGCTCTGTCTCTAATTTTAATGTCTTAATTGCCTCTTTTTATCTTCTGTGTGTATGTCTGTGTGTGTGTAGTGATTCTGGGAGGGGGAGCAGTCTTTTAGACAGAGCTGTTGCTGACCGTCGTCAGCTGAATGCCATGTCACTGCCTGACTTCAGTGATCCAGAGACAGGTGAGCGTACACGCGCACACACACACACACACACATTAATGTCCCTATATCTATATCTCTAACTATTATGGTAACAGATTTTTTTCCCCTACCTTTTATGGTGATTTTACATAACCATGACAAGAGACATCAGCTTTGCTGTCACTTTATCTGTATTTCCTTCATATTTCTCTCTCTCTCTCTCTCAAACACACCAATTTAGATTTAAAATTAATGGCTTAAAGGATTAGTTCACTTTTAAAAAAAACTTTTGCTGATAATTTACTCACCCCCATGTCATCTAAGATGTCCATGTCTTTCTTTCTTCAGTCGAAAAGAAATTAAGGTTTTTGATGAAAACATTGCAGGATTTTTCTCCATATAATGCACTTCAATGGACTCCAACAGTTTCAATGTGCATTCGTGACTCTCCTGTTTGAACTCGTTCATCAAAATGAACGAATCTTTTTTTAAGTCATTTTGTTTATTCAATGAACAAAATGAGCGAATTGACTCAAAAAAAGATTTGTTCATTTTGATGAACGAGTTCGAACAGGAGAGCACGAACACGCATCACAGAACAGAGCAAGGCAAGCATTTGTGCTTCTAAAACTTAAACTTTAAAATTTATTTTTAAATGAGCGATCGTTTCGCTAGATAAGACCCTTATTCGTCGCCTGGTATTGTTTAAAGCCCTTTGAAGCTGCACTGAAACTGTCATTTGGACCTTGAAACTGTTGGTGTCCATTGTAATCCATTATATGGAGAAAAAACCTGTAATGTTTTCTTCGAAAACCTTCATTTCTTTTCGCCTGAAGAAAGAAAGACATGGACATCTTGGATGACATTTGGGTGAGTATATTATCAGCAAAAGTTTTTTGGAAAAGTGAACTAATCCTTTAATAATATGATGGGTTAATACATTTTGTAATGTACATTTTAACTTTAGCTGTAATCCTTGTTGATGGGTCATATTGAATTTTATTCCCAGTATCCTGTGCAGTAAGTAGAGTAATTAGATAAAGAGGGCTGAGATGAGCGCAGGTGTTTGTTTGCTGCCTTTGCACATCAGTGATGGCGGAGGGTTTCTCTGCTGTGTATGCAGACAGTAAACATGTCATTTCATCTCCGTGATTCAGCAGTTACCTATTTTCTTTACAATCTGATCTAACTGCTCCAGGTGTGTTTAGTTCTGGTTATTTATTTTTTATTGTTTGAACCTTTTCCATTATTTTTAGGGCTGTCTGTCAATCAAACATTTTAAATTCATTTCATTTCATTTAAATATTAAAGAATTTACATACAGGGTATGAGTTATGTTGAGTTTGTTTTATGTATTTATGTTTGTTTCCCAATGACAGCCCTAAATATTTAATGTCTTTCCTTCTGTTCTTCTTTTAATTTTTTTCAAAAATTTTTTTTTTTAGATCACATCCTTTTCATTTTCTTATTTTTATTCCTAGCCTCTCATGCCTCTTCCTCCCTCTCGGGGTCAGAACCTGTATCTCCTATTTTTCCTCTTCCATCCTTCTATCCTCCACCCAAGACTGAATCCACTCAGAGGCCCAGCAACCATGCTTTCTGTGACCACGCCCCCCGTCGACGCTTCTCCTCCGCCAGTAATACACTGTGCACCTTGTGTGTGTTTTTCGACCAATAGATTGGCATGAGTCTCTTCTCACTATCCAATCGCCATGCCACTAACCGCACTGCCTGAATAGTCCCACCCACCAGCCCAATTCATTTGGGATTTGGTTTAGTCTGTTTGGTGACTTGTTTGCTGCTGCGGTTTGAATTGGTATTGAAGCAGTGTTTGGCTTTTGAAGGCCTCTTTTTGAAGATTTCAGTCTCTAAAGACCATCAGGCAACTAATGGGTTTTTAATGTGATTTTAACCATTCCAAGAAGCAATTTTACAGTGCACTGATGGCAAGTAGAAGAATCAAATGCTCAAGTTATTATGTGAATACGCGTTTAAGTACTTGCACTATTGTTTCAAGATCTGTAGAGGAGTTCAATGTAGCTCAGCCCTATTTATATGGTGTGTCCGGTTATGGCTTGTATCAGCTGTAAAAGGACATTAATTGAGTACAAGGCTGTTATAAGACTCTAAATGCCACCGTCAGAATGATGTGATGGTGTGGGTTCGGCGATCCAGTGGCCCTTGAGACGGACACTAAGCTCTTAATCTCCACTGGCTCCTGGGGAAATGAAAGACAGAGAAGCAGTGACACTTGCTATCAGCTAGCTGTTTAAGACCTGGGATCATATCCAAACTTGTATCATCAGAGAGAGAGAGAGAGAGAGAGAGAGAGAGAGAGTTTAACTGGAGATTTCTTATGTTACTCAAACTCACTCATACTGCAGTTTGGTCTTCTTTTTCTTCATCTAATATGCTTTCCTCCTCTGGCCCTGTTTACATTTTATATAAACATCTGTTTGGAGTAATCCAGTCAAGCGTGACAGATTGTTGTTTACATCTGGTATTTACATTCACATTATTATTTTATTATTATTAATGAATTGTTTTATTCAACAGGGATACATTAAATAAATCAAAAGTGACCGTAAAGACATTTATAATGTTACAAAAGAGTTCTTTGAAAAAATATTACAAAAAAATGGTTGAGCACATATCATAGCACATATCAATGAATCAGCATATCAAAATGATTTCTGAAGGATCATGTGATGATGTGATGATGCTGAAAATTCAGCTTTGCCATCACAGGAATAAGAATATTAATAATAATTAATAGGAATAAGAATAATTTTATTGAATTTTTAAATATAATAAAATTGAAAACGGTTATTTGAAATTATTTTGATCCAATAAATGCTGCCTTGGTGAGCATAAGAGACTTCTTTCAAAAACGTAGATCTTATCAGCCCCATACTTTTAAACAGTAGTGTATCACTTACATTAGTGTGTTCAAAAAAGAACAAAAAATTACTTCAAAAATTCAAATTAATTTTTTCAAAAACAACTTTTTACTCAAATTGATGTTGAAAATATAATTTGTCCTGAAAAGTCAATTAAATTAGAAAAATAAAGTGTACTCAGACATTTGTACTTAAAATTGGTAAAATAGGTAAAACTACCTAAAATTGGTTATTTTATAGTGAGAGGTGACCAGCAAAGTTTCAATATTGTAGCCCAACAGATAACTAAAAGGTGAGTAGACAGTCCTTCACTCTTTTCCAAGACAGAGTATGCAGGATGAATAACCTTTTAGTTTCTCACTCCATTTAAGCCCAAATTCAGCACTGTCGACATGATCAGAGCATCCGGGACCGATATTAATACCAGGTGTAAACACGGTCTTTATTTACGTCTGAAATGCTGTGCATGTGTAACTATTTCCGCCGTGTTTGTGCATCAAAATCATTGTATTAACACGCGTACAGCCCAACATAAAGTGGTACGCACCTTCCAGTTCCTGTTCACAGAGCGTGTGAATCACAGAGACAGGGTTTACAGGGCCATTACCTGCTCTGACTTTGGTTTGTGGTATTTAAAAAGTCAGACAGAAACAGTTTCTTTTTTTCTGTTATATTTCTCTGTGTTTCTGTAAACTTTCTGTTGTTGTGTTTGTTGTAGTTTTTGTTCTTAATTTTTATGAGTAATTGCCCCCTTTTGTTGTTCTTTTTGGTTTCCAAGGCAACCTTCCAGATGCTTTCTTTCATGGTTTTGACTCCTTTATTGGGGTTTGTAAGTAGCTCTTGTCGTTACTGCTCTACCTCTACACACTTTTCAACACACACCTGCTTTTTTGCCTCGCTGGCCTTCTCCTCCTTGGCAGAGTGCACTCACCACCTGTCTGTTACGAGACTCCAACACACTCCGCCATAATGTGTTCAATAGGTGCGTTGCGTCTTACCTTTTGTTTTGCCCTCTTATTGTGTTTCCTCTCCTGGCGTTTTGTGTCCCAGGCCTCTTTGTGTTGGAGAGAGACATAAATGCACTCGTTTGGCCTCAGTTCTTAATAATTAAAGAGACAGTTGTGTTCCTCCAGGCCTTTCAAACACATACAGCTGCTTAAAGCCAAACACTTATGAGTACAAATTATTAGTTTTAATGATACTTTTTTTATATAATTGCCAGTTGTTAAAAGTGTTGTTGTTGTTATTAATGGTATGGAAAGTATTATTATTACTATAATTAATTAGTGTTAGTAATATGAACAGCGCTTAGTATTACTTGTGCATCATTTATGCTACAGAGGTGAATGCAGAGGTGAATGACACTTTAATCCTGCATATGATATTATGATTATTTTTTTTTCATTTACACTACTGTTCAAACGTTTGGGATATATATATATATATATATATATATATATATATATATAATTGATATATTTCATAATATTGTGAAATACTATTACAATTTGAAATCTGTTTTCCATTTTTATATATTTTAAAATGTTTATTTTTAAAAAATAATAAAATAAAAAATATAAAAAATAAAAAAATATTTTCATAAAAGAATCATAGTGACCCCAAACTTTTGTACGTTATTTTATGTGTAAATATACACACTGCTTGAATCTTGTCATCACAATAGCCCTAAAAGCTTTCTAACATTGACACTATTTGTTTTAAAGTTTAGTTTGTTATCAAACAAAACTTTCATTTTAATATGAAGTGATGGTGCTGTGATTAAAAATTCATAAATTATTCTAAATAGATTTGGTGCCTCAGGAAAGCATTGAATGACCTTGTCTAAAATGGGTTAAAAAATGTTTTTACCATTAATCCAATATTACTCTTAAACCCTTTTAATTCTATTTGATAGTCCACCGTTTAATCCCCGTTTAAGATTGTTGTTTAATTTAATTTGAAACCTGAGTGAAGTCAACAATATTTAGAAGGACTTTTACTGATCCTCTAATTATTTTAACGATTATTATTTAAATGTAGATTATTTGTCATTAGGGACATTTGATATAAAGTGTGTGCGATATCTGATGGAATAACACCCAGGTCTCTAGACCGTAAATTATGAGCTCCGATTTCCTTTAGCGTCTCACATTTAGCAGCTGTTTCTAAACTCCTGGCTCTGTTAACAGCGATGAAACGTTTAAGAGGACTGGAGCACTGGTGTCATGATAGTGCTGAGAGGTGCTCATTTAGAGCCAATTGCGATGGACAGAAAATCCGGAAAGAATCGTAAATAGGTTTTCTTTTTTTCCACAAAAGTGGAATTAATTGTTTTTAGGAACTTGACAAATTGATTGCAAATTGCTGTAGAAGACTGAAAATATTTTGAATTAAGAAGATAACTTTTTAGCTGAATTTAATGGAGAAAAAACATGGGAAATTATGTTGCCTGTGTTTTTAACAGAAATAAATTCATAGTGTTAAATTATTTAACTTAATTATGAATTTGAATTTGCCCATTTGCACAAAAAAAGCTGACATGCAGTTTACAGTCGTTAAGAGTGGCTGCACTACAAACCAATGTAGACTTGCTGTAATTTAATGTAGGTTCTGGTGAAGAAAGTACTGTCTCTTTAAAAACATAGCTGCTTTTTATGTGTGTGATTGCGTGTGATGATGCTTTCTCACTCTTAGCATGTGGCTCCATGGTCACGCTCCTTCTGCAGCCTGATCTGATGCATCATGGGTGTCTGTCTGAGTTTGCGTGTGCACACGCATGTGCTTTAAAGAGATGTGAAGTTGTTGACTGTTTATCTAGCAAGTACTTGTCAGTCATCAACTTCAGCCCTACAGAGTGACAGCAGCTCTTGGACCCCTCAACAGCCTGATATCTTCCCCTACTTCAGTCAAACACAAGTGTCATTAAATAGAGAAATTAATTTAGAATCATTTATTCGTGTTGTTCTAACCTGTATGACTTTTTAATGATTAAATTAGAAACTAGCGGTTTTCTAATGTAATATATATATATATATATATATATATATATAATTTTATTTTATTTTCTGTGATGGCAAAGCTGAATTTTCAGCATCATTCCTCCAGTCTTCACATGATGCTCGGGAATCTTTCTAATATGCTGATTTTACTGCTCAAGAAACAATTATTATCAATGTAGAAAACAGTTATAGTTATTAGAAACGGTGTAACAGTACATTTTTTCATGATTCAAAAGAACAACATATATTTGAAATCGAAATCTTTCGTAATATTATAAAAAATCTTTACTCTCATTTTGAATCAACAATAGTCACAGAGGTTTGGAACAACATGAGCGTAAGAAACATGACAATTTTTCATTTTTGGGTGAACTATCTACCTTTTAACAAGAGAGTTCAACCTAGGACATCCATTAATGATCGTTTCCTCTTTTATTAAATGTTCTATTCCACGGTTTAAATTTGTTCATTGTTTTTGCCTCGATGAGTTTTTTTTTTTTTTTTTAAGGCTGTGGCATTGGACATTCATGAAGAGATCCCCTGGAAGCCTTTCAGACAGATGGGGTCAGATTCTCAGTGTTTGGTCCAGTGATCCATGGCTTTGTCCACGTTCGCCATTGAAAAGCTAAACATAGGAACTGAATAAAAAACTGAGATGTACACAGGGATCGATTTCAGTATGAATGTGTTTTATGTCCTGCTGGTCTGGTCGATAAAGTCCAGCCTGTGACTCATAGAGACTCTTGAGGATCTTAATATGTTCCTCTGAACCCCTGCAGAGACTTTAATGACCACACTGATGGCCGGGCACTGCACGTCCAGACAAATAGTGACTCTGTGATCGCTGGACTGCATGGGGCAATTTCAGTTCACCCAGTTCAGAAAACTGATGTTCAGTTCATCTCCTGAATCAGGCAAATTGAAAAGGAACTGAGGCCAAATCTGGAATTAATTGATAAAATGGTTAAAGGAATAGTTCACCCAGAACTCAGTTAATTTGCGAACCCAAATGACCTTAACTACTGTTAGTAAGTTTTTTTTTTTTTCCAAAGAAATGAATACTTCTATTCAGAAAATCTATCAAAAGTATGCGTACTTTTAAAGGTCTTTATGACATACGGATCTTCTGATTCTTTCTGATACCTAGAAGTGAGGAACAAACCCAGAAATTAAGTTGTCATTCACTAATAATGATGAGTATTTGGTTGGATTGTTTTTTTTTTTTTTTAGTCTAATCTTTTCAGTGAATCATTTGATCAGATTTGCAAAGGAAAAATGATTGTAAATGATGACCGAAATGCCCATTTGGGTGAGCTATCAGTTTAATTGAAGGCACTAAAACTGAGCAGAAAGGAAAACCACCGCATTTCTGTTGCTGAAATGTGTATGTTGCAGCCTCGCAGCCAGCACTTTTAACATGCAGGGTTTAGAAAACGCGTGGAAAGTAGCAGCAAATGTGCTTTATTGTTTACTATTAATAATTATATGCTGTTTGTGTGTGCTTTAATTGGTGTATGTATAAAGGCACGTTCACACCAAGGACTGTAACAATAAATCTAAAGCTTTAAAAGTTGTCCACACCACAACTATAATGATACACAGAGGAATTTCACTTTCACAATTTTTTTTCAGCTGATGAATGATAAAAACATTGACAGCCAATCAGAATCCATCCTACTTTAAAGAAAACAAGCATTTAAAGCGCCAGATGACCGAAAAGGAACCCTGATATAGTTATCTTTATAGTTATCGTTCTTGGTGTAAACAGGCCTTAAATTGTGTTTGGTAAAAAAATTGTCAATTTTTTTTAGGAACACAGAGTTGAACCTAATCTTTGTCATGCTGTTTCTTTACCCTTGTGTTTCCTAAAGGCCATTCATTCAGATGACTGGTGTTCATTTGTCATTTTTATTTTAGAATGAATGTTAGAATGGAAAAATCACTGTTAAAGATGATCCTTTTCATATATATCCCATTGGAATTGAGATATTTTCAAACCCGAACTCTTGTGTGTTAAATATATGAGAACCAGTGTTATTTTACTATTATTCTAATGCACTCTTATAGTGTTTATTCATATTTTAAATTTTTGTGGTTTCAGTTTTAATTTTAAAGTTGTAATAATTTTATTTTGTGCTTTTGTCAAATTAAACATATTTTTTTTTTATTTTTGTTTACGTTTTTTAAAGAATTTAATCTAATGTTATTTTCAATGAACAGTTTTTAATAGCTAAGTTAACTTAACAATAACAACACTGCTAAGAACAGGGTTTAGTTATGATCAACTGCTATTTGGCCTTCATGTCAATGTTTTCACTCTGAGAGGCATGACCCCTAAAGGCTGGTGTGTAGTGGATTTTTAGCATGTATGGACTGGCCAATGGCCATATATGTAGAAAAGCTCCAGTCTTTGCTGACTGTCTGTATTTCCACGGCAGGTTCCGTCCATGCCACTTCTATAGCAGCATCACGTGTGGAACAGGCGCTGTCTGAGGTGGCCTCCTCCCTCCAGAGCAGCGCCCCAAAACAGGGACCGCTCCACCCTTGGATGACCCTCGCCCAGATCTGGCTGCATGCAGGTATAAACACAGCCCTCATTTCCATCTTGTTAACATAAGCCACACCCATATCATGTTTTTGCACTGTGTGAGGTCCAGGTTTAATGAACGGCAAATTCTGTGGTCTTGATATAAAATACCTACTTCATTTATAAACAAACTGTAAGAGTACACCATGTTCAAATATAGAAAGCTTATTCCTCACTGCTTTGTGAACCCAGGTTGTTATTAATAGCTGCCTTTGTCCAAACAAATACATTAGGAAAACCACATCCAGCAGGATCGAATTACCCATCTGGATACTTTTGCTCTCGGTCTACAATCAGCATTTACAGTGTGAATTTGGCTGAATTAAATGCAATAAAGTTTAGGAAAGTTCTGCGTCGTCTTGCATCATTGGTTCGACTCATGCAAGTATTGATAATTATTTTTTTAATTTTATTTTATTTTTTTGTATTTTTTTTTTAATGCTGATACCTTGGATTTTTTTTTTTTTAGGCCTATTGTGGACAGCTGACTCCAGAAGTTTTCATATTCTGTGTTTTGGTTAGTTCATAGTAGTGAAACAAACTAAACTTTTTCATTGAAGATTTAATTCACCCGAAAATTAAAATTGCGTCATGTCATTCCAAACCCATAAGACTTTATCGGAATGAAGACAAATGAAGAATTTTTTTTTTTTTAAATCTGAGTCTTCTGTCTCTCCAATAGGCTATGCAACTACCACTTTGACATAAAAAGTTCATAAAAAGGTAGTACAACTAATCCATATGAATCGGGCAGTTTAGTATACATTTTCTGAAGAGAGTTGATCGCTTTATATTATGAGCAGATTGAATTTAGGCTTTTATTCACATATAAATATTGCAGAAGCTCAAACGTGCTGCGTAACACACGAGAATGAACCTCATTGGTTCTCTCACGTCCAGCTAACGTACTTCCATGTACCACAACTGATGTGTTTGTATGTGAATGAAATTTTAAATCAAATCTGATTGTCATTTAAAGCGATTGTGTCTCTTTAAATTTGGACTAAACTGCTTCATTCATATGGATTAGTTTTACAAACTCTTTATGAACTTTCTAATACGTCAAAGTGGTAGTTGCGTAGACTGTCAATGGAGGGATAGAAATCTCTCAGATTTCATTAAAGATATCTTCATTTGTGTTCCGAAGATGAACGAAAGTCGAAAGGGTTTGGAATGACATGAGGGTGAGTAAATGATGACATATGTTTATGCCATATTCCAATATATTTTAAACACTTAATTCAATTAAAATAGTAAGACACTATACATAGGGCTGTTGCCAATCACATTAAACTAGGATCAACAAAAGCCATCTCTGCACTGTCGATGATACTTCTGTGACATTCGGCTGCAAGTGAAGTGGCATTTAGATGTAGTGAAAGAAACTATGAAGAACCGATGAAGAAACTATGAAACGATTCTGGTAATACTCATATGTTGTTGTTATCAACATATCATTTACCCAGTCATTTCAATCTTTAAAGTACCAGATTATAGGGACCACACATGCCACACATGCAATTCTGTTTACTCATGGTATGCAAAATCTGGAACATTAACCCATTTACAAGCAACATAGACCAAACAACATACAGGAAAATCATGAGATGGGACCTTAGATACCTGTTATCATAGTTATCACATGGTTATATATAGATATATAGAATTAAACAGGGTTCATTTCTTCTTCAGCAAGAATTAAGAGAGTCACCCTTCTCGGGAGATTCTGTTGGGTAATAAAATTCAGTCTCTAACATAACCCCCGTTCTGCCAGTGTTGACTTTAGTTGTGGGGGAAAGCGATCCGTGTGTGTGTGTGTGTGTGTGTGTAATGTGTGTTTGTGTAATGTGTAACCTGACCAGATTCTCTACAGGTACTAAAATTAGGAAAAGCGTCTCTCAAATAAAAATCCTTTAATTTGTTGTCTCAGTAGCAATCAACTTGGATACTAATACTAATTATTCTTTAAGCAGCTTGGCTGTCACTGAGCCAAGTTAGGGAACCTTAGCAGGACTTGGCAGGGTGAGAAAGGTGTCAAGAGTGAAGCATGCTTAGTAGTCACTTTCCCTAAATTTGTTGGTTGATTGAAGAGGCAGGACACCCCATCAGTTCCTCTGTCTCATCACCGCTTCTGAACCATTAAACGGTTGATGCTGATGATGTATCTGACACCCTGTCTGAGAATCCCATTTCCTGTGTGACTCGAGATAAGAAATAAACTCAACGATCGGTCCCCCCAACAATGCTTCTTTCTCTTCTTCTTCTTTCCCCTTTATATCTTAATTTTCTTTCTCTGTCTCTCCATAGCGGAGGTGTATATTGGAATGGGAAAGGCGGCGGAGGCGACAGCGTGTACGCAGGAAGCAGCCAACCTGTTCCCCATGTCCCATAACGTGTTGTTTATGAAGGGTCAGGTGGCAGAGCTGCGGGGGAACGTGGACGAGGCCAAACGCTGGTACGAGGAGGCTCTGTCCATCAGCCCCACCCACGTCAAGACCATGCAGAGAATGGTGAGCAAGTTTTCTACCCGCTAACACAAACCCGGTGCGCTTATGTTTATAAAGCCATTAATTGGCTGCTCGCCATAACGATTTCAGGTAGAAATGATTTTCTAATGTGTTAGATTGGCATGTTGAGATTGAGGAGAGAGACAAGATTTCAACCCGTGTCACTATTTAGCAGACATTGAGTCCAGGGTGTTGAGACTTGCTGTCTCCTGGTGTGTGTGTGTGCGTGCTGCTGTCTCCTGGGGTGTTTGTGTGTGTCTTAATAGTAAGCAGAAATGTCACGTCTCATAAAGGAACAGCAGCATAAAGAAGCATTGCCCCTGTCTCTGTCAAATCTCTCTCTCTCTGACCTTCTTTTGTGTGTGTGTGTCCGACACGGTTCTAACAGAAGGGCAGTGGACGGCATCTGAACTCTCAGAACTGCTTTTAATATAATGTATAAATAATATAATTATATAATAATATTATGTTACATAATTGAATCAAAACAAACAGTATTTTCCCGATATATTGTTACTCATCAATATTTTAGATCAGTTTTACAATATAAATAGATTAACTGTTTTCTAAAAAGGCCATGTTGTACTCTGATCCATGAATTTATAATGCTTTTTAATGTGGGTCAAATTTGAGGCTAAACCCTCTTCCTCTTTTCCTCTTTTTGCAGGGTCTGATATTGCATCAGCTACAGAGGTACAGTCTTGCGGAAAAGTTCTTGCGTGATGCGGTGCAGGTGAACAGTACGGCACATGACGTGTGGAACAGTCTGGGTGAGGTGCTGCAAGCCCAGGGCAACGACACCGCCGCGACCGAATGCTTCCTTACTGCCCTAGAGCTGGAGGCCAGCTGCCCCATCTTACCTTTCACCATCATTCCCCGCACCCTCTAAGACACTCCGAACAAAAACCTCTGTCCGAGAGTCGTGCATGATCCACAGCCCTTAATCGCACACAAACGCCCGACCCTGAAACTTCTGTTCTATCCTGGAATGCCTTTCCCACCCCTCTAAACTTTTTATCTGTTCTCAAATGTGGATCTGCAGAAAATTAAACTGTGATTGACACGGTTATCAGTGTGAACTCTTCTACACTGCTTCACTTTCGTTCTTTTTACCCCTTCCCTCTTCATTCCCTGCTAGAATGTCCTCCTGCTTCTGTACATCATAGGGGTCCCCGCTCCCTTCAGCCCTCTCATTGGTCAGTTTCACGCCACTGTATGATTGGACCAATGAGAGACCTGTACAAGCTGTTGTCACAGTGAAGCGGGTGATTGATGCAGCGGTTTCATCAAACCACAGTGCTTCCTTTTTGGCCGAAACATGTCCTGAAACATACAATCTCAAGATTCTAGTAGCTGTGTGTCATACAAACCAATAATAACACTGACACAGAGACGGTCAAAGGTGTGTGTACATGTGCTGTGTGTTTGTGCAGAGTTAAATGGATGGTGAGAGAGAGAGTGTCCTTTATATGTGTAACTATCCAGAGTCTGTGGTGCGTGCGCATGCTTATTTTGAAAGGAATACTTGACACACTGTTACAGTGGATCCCTGTTACATGCACAAGTGTAATAGATTGTGTTTCCATGCTGTTGTTCCTGAGGGCAGGTGTGCCAACCTTGTTGTGACTCCTAGAGAAACATTACGTCCCCGCGCTCTGATCAAACACTCTATTGTTTATATATATTCTATGTACAAAAGAATCACCTAGAGCAAATGGAACGGATGCCAAAAGAACAACTATTCTAAAAGCAAATATTTTATCTTGGTTCTCGTTAAAAGAGAAGATAAATCTAGTTTTGGACGTTGTTTTGTTTGTTGGTTTATTTTTCCACATTTATCATGATTGAGAGGTCAAGATTTATATTGTTGATTTATCAGAGATGTGTTATATTAGATGTTTATTTATCTGTGTCTCAGTGGCCATGTGTTAGACGGGTGAAGATGTATTCCGTGTGTGTGCGTGGTGTGTGTTCCTGAGAAACAAACGTGAGGGGAGTTGGACTGTTACAGACAGACACGTTGAACTCTCCGATATGCAAACTATCTTCATAATGGTCAAAATTATTTCAGCCACATAAGAGAGAGAAAGTGATTGTATGCGTGTACTTGAAGTCTTAGCAATGTCAATCACAGGGCCAAGCACACAACTGGAAAAGCTGTTTTATGATGTCAATAAATGATTGATTGTGAAAAGTCTGTTTTGTTTTTGTTATTCCTTTATTTTAAGACAGCTAATATCGATTTGACTGTCAGAGAATTTTTGGTTGCACTTTATTTTACAGGTAGGTGTACTTGTAGTGTACTTACAAGTACTGGGTAGGTATATTGTTTAAGTTTAGGAGTAGATTCAGGGTTAGTACCCAGTTATTACTTAAAGGGATAGTTCACTTTGAAATTAATTTTTGATATGTTTTAGCTTACCTCAAGGGCATCCAATATGTAGGTGTCTTTGTTTCCACAGCATTTTCAATTTTGACATTTTTTGGTCAAACCGTTGTTGTCTATATAATTATATAGTTTTTACCTCTTGTTAACAGCCGTCGAACTGATCTGAATTAGATGTCCAACTGAACCGAACTGAACCGTCTCCAGACGTTACGCCGGAAGTGATCTCTCGCGCGTCTATGTCACACATTGTTTTGTTTTTTTTATTAATGCCAAGGTATCAAAAATACAAGTAGATTACAACAATATACAAATTGCACACAGGAAAAATAATGAAAGCAATAGAGCACATATGCATATAGCATTTATGTATACTCATACTACACAAAAATAAAAAAAAAAACAGAACAGAATGCATTAATAAAATAAATTTAAAAAATCTAACAAGTTTATGGTCTTAAGAGCTTTAAGATTCTTGGATGATGAAATACTTCGGATGTATTGCTGAACCTCTAAAACGGATTCTGCTGTGTAAATTTACGACGGTGAATGTGAAATTTTGCAAAGAAGAACAACAAATTCATAAAAAAAAACTCATTAAATTTAGCTTTTTGTATATTAAAGAAGCCAACAGTACACCCTTAAAGAGCAATGAAAAACCTGGAAGCACATTGCCTTTAATAAACTTAGAAAATTCCACCCAAAATAACTGTGACGTCACGCATTGTTTACACGGAGATTTCGGAAATTTTACCTTTCACTAAACATAATAGATATATCGAAATCGTCTTCCATTGCGATTTCCCGTAACTTCCGAAATCTCCGTGTAAACAATGCGTGACGTTACGTAGACGCGCGAAAGATCACTTCCGGCGTAACGTCTGAAGACGGTTCAGTTCGGTTCAGTTGGACATCTGATTCAGATCAGTTTGGCGGCTGTTAACAAGAGGTAACAACAACTATACAAATACTGTTCGTTTTCTCACACAAACCGCTTGTTTCGTGTCTCAGGCCATCAGTGTGTACTTACATTTATGTGTCATTAAATCATGTTTAATTTTAACTTCTCTGTGCACTGCATGCTCTTTGAGGTGAACTGAGGGAGGACCCCATAACCTCCAGTGTATGACTGACAGACAATGGTTTGACCAAAAAATGTCAAAATTGAAAATGCTGTGGAAACAAAGACAACTACATCTTGGATGCCCTTGAGGTACTTAATTTATGGGGAACAGGACTAAAATAAAGTGCTACCAAATGTTCTCGTAATTGTGACTATTTTATACAAACTGCATATTTATATCTCGCAATTGTGTCTATTTTTCATAGTTGCAACTGCAAAATGTCACTATTTCTTATTTTAGGTGATTGGAAATAGGACTAACCACAGTCTGTCCTCAAGGGGAGATAGTGATACCTTCATGTCTGCGCTGGTAAACTGGGTGTATTATTCAGGTAACTATCTACAAATATGTAACAGTCTGAAGGTGCACTCACATTAACAAACTTTCACAGGCAAAAAAGGTCCTTGTCGATTGTGAATATTATATTAAGCACAGCTCACACAAATGTCACTCTCAATCTCAGCATCTTTCTTTTGGTCAACACTGCAAATTTCCATGAAAAACGGAAGCTGAAGGGAAATCTGTGTTTGTAAATATTTCGCCCCTCATGTGAAATTCCTGATCGTTCCTATTGAAATGACTGGATTTAGCCTGCAAAATTTCACAACAATGGTAAATGTGAAATTTTCACTCCTTACTCTTACTCTGTCATAGCGTTAACTTGGCTGACCTGAAGAGTATGGGCTCTGACTTATCTGACCTGAAGAGTATGGGGCTTCTAAATTTGTGTGTGTTTTCAAACTGATGGGTGTTTATAAATTTTGCAATGGAAATGTTGCCCTTCACCCGGCCCATCTGTTGTGGGACAGAGGTGAGAGGTGGCTATATACTAGTTTCTTCTTGCGCTGATTGGTTGATTACCTGAACGTGCTCCTCCCAAACTTCGTTAAATAAAACTTGATTTCGTAGAATGTAGCCCTTATTGCGTTATGACTTGCATTCTGAAACATATCAAAACATTATGACGTTTAATCAAACTCGTCTTTGCATTGACATGAAAAGCTAAGAGTATGTTTCAGCCCCTGCTTTTCCAGTTATATTTCTTTTCATTTTATATTTCTTTTCATGGCACTCACGTTTCCTTACATGCGCTCCTGACATCATCTCATGCATGTTAAATGAGCCCACTGTTCCCCTGACTTGTGGTACGGATGAATACCTTAAAAAGCTCTCAAAGATTGATGAAGGTCCAAAAGCTCAGAAGCAGAAAAAAAAATACAGAGAAAAGACAAGGGCAGCTGCCTCTGAATGAATGATGTGGCCTAATAAAAAAGGAGTGAGGGAGAAAGAAGGATCTGAGGTGGGAAATGTATAAGGTAAATTATTTAATGCACTTACAGGCCTGCCTTAAACTAATGAGTGTTTGCCGCTTGCTTTGTGGGACAGGCTGCACTCCCAGGAGCAAACTAGGACGTAAAAAGAGCTTCAGCAAGAATTTGGTCATTATAAAAAGTTTTTGTGTCTGCCAAAATGTTTATGCCTCTTGAGACCTCTTCTTTGCTTCATTCCTGCTGTAAAGTGGTGAACATTATAAACAGCCCCAATATGGCCCAATGCTGGATCTTTGATCTGGGTCAGGAGAATGTTGAACCCTAATGAGCCCTCAGTGACAGCATTATTCCCCTGGCTTCAGTAAACACTAAAAACTAGTCCTGAACATTGTCTCTCTGAGGTTTTTTTTTATCATTTTTAGTTGCAAAGCATCAACGTGGCCTGAAATTTGATTGAGAGCTGTATTTCACTGACCATTGTACAATGTGGTACCTGATAGGCCCCCAAACAAAACACTGAATTTGAAGTGCTTACTAAGGTAACTGTCACTGTTATTACTGCAGCATACTTGTGGTTAGCGGTTTGTCACATCCCTAACCCTATTTTTATTTATTTATTTTTATTTATTTATTTATTTAATATGGACATAGCAATAACATTGGACGAACCAGATGCATTGTTTAAAGTGTAATAGCACATGTGCTAATTTTCAACACCTGTCCATAGGGGCTTTTACTACAGATAAAAACACATTATAAAACAAGACAAAGATCATTTACACATGGGAACAACTTTGGCCCGATTTCAGCCACTGTTTAAGGTCTCTGGTGAAGATGTTAATATTCCTCTGCAGTTTAAGTCCAATTGGGAGAGAATTCCATAGTGTAGCCCCTCTGAAGGAGAAGCTACCTTCTAGTAACCCTATACTTCAGTCTGTAACTCTATCCCTGACAAACATTTCCAAAGTCCTAGCTATCATTAAAAAATCCTCAGTAATACACTAAGCAACACCCTAGCAACCACCCAAAAAAAAAAACAAGAAACACTTGGTTGCCAGAGAACCAACATATAAAACTAACAAACCTTTTCAACACCCTAGCAATAATTCAAAATACCTAAAAAACTTAGCAACACCCTAGCAACCCCCCCCCCCTAAAAAGAAACACCAAGCAATGCCAGAGAATCCCACATATAACACTAACAAACCCTTTGCAACACCCTAGCAATCATTCAAAATACCCTAATACTTAGCAACACCTTAGCAACCACACACAATACCCTAACAAACACTTGACAGCACCTAGCAACTAACCAATCACAATACCCTAACAAACCCTTAGCATCACCCTAGCAATCATTCAAAATACCACTTAGCATTGCCCTATCAACCACAAAGATCAGAAATGACCTGGCAACCAATAAAAATACCCTAACAAATAATTAGCATCATCCTAGCATCCAAACAATACCCGTTGGAAATACTTAAATAGCAATGATTTGGCAATCATTCGAAATACCAGAATACTTAGCAACACCCTAGCAACCACCCACAATACCCTAAAAGTAATGCCTTAGAAACCACCCATAATATGCCACCCTATAGCAACCATACAGATCATCCTTGCAAACACTTAGCAATAACATTCCAAGCACCCTAAATACCCTAACAAACAATTGTAACACAGCCCACACCCATACCAAACACTTTAGCTAAAAACTTCTCTGAAGACCCTAGCAACTCCTTAGGTGACCACCCAGAACACCTTGCAGTGTGGCAGCAAGTTTTGCGGTGATGATTTAATATAAGGTAAAATGTACTGTAAATGTTCAGTGAAAGTATTTATGAATAAATTAATTAGAAATTATTTATTTATAATTTATGTGATATAGAAATCTCAACTCTGCAGTGGTCTCTCTCTCTGTTCTTTCTGGACGGTGGCTTGTGTTTCATTGGTATTACTGCTCTGATCCTGTCATTGATTGGGAACCCAGCTCAATTCTCACATCAGAGAACACCGAATCAATACGAGAGACTCCAGAGAGTTTTTTTATAGGGTGAGCTCACATTCTCACACAGCAATGGGTAAATTTGTCTATGGCATTCAGGAGGATGTCCTGTCAAGGCATATACAGAACCATTAGAAGCATTTAAAGGATAGTTCAATCGAAAATTAATTTGTGTCCCGTCAAAATTAACATGTTTCAAACACATATGGCTTTATTTATTCTGTGGAACACCAGACTTTATTTTTTTTAATTGATAACCACTTATTTTGGTGTAAATACTCTGACACATTCAGTTATTTCTCCACAAAATCTGCAATAGTGATCGCCCAAGGATTCATATGCCCTCCGCTCACATGCCCAACCACATGTTCGCTGGTGATTATCCCAGTGAGGGGTGTTGACATTGCA